CATCAATCGGGGGGTTGCAAGGTCACTCATCGCTCACTAGCCCAAACCGATTCGACTTTTCGTGTCCCCTTTTTTGTCCATGTTTACTTGGTGGCTCCCAGCCATCCGGTTCCTTAGCCTTTTAGCCTTTTAGTGTTTAGCGCTAGTTTCCGAATTTAACCAAAAGTGAAACTCACTTTTAGCGGGGGATCTGAAAACGGGCAGCCAAAAGGTTTAGTCACGGCTTTAAAAGGTTTAGCTTTCCATTTGGCTGTGGCTCAAAAAAGTGGTAGCAAAATGGCACCCGAGTAAATGAAACCAAAGACTAAAACCTGCGTAACCGTTGCTCTTGAATTTTCAGCCATACCCATTTCGAGCTGAGATCGTGCCGGTTCCAATGCGTGGGGATTACAGACATCTTCGCTCGGTCCATTTGTTGAGAAATGGGGTGTGGCTGAAAACTAAGCAAGAGGGGCAAACCGCAGGTTTTGGTCCATGTTTCCACTGACCAGGGCAAGCCATTTTGGCACCAGTTTTTTGAGCCACAGCCGGTGAATTATGATAACTTGCCCAGGGCTCCTGAAAAGATACATTTTGCCACCATTTGAAGCATGTTGCTTTGTCAACACCAAAATAAAGTTGGAAACCACCATTCACAAGTTGCAATGTTCAGGTGTATAATGTAAGGATCCCTGTTGCCCAGATGTTGACAAATGGTTGTAAGTCACCCGTTCGATAAATGACCGGGTTGCCAGCCACTTAGCTATACAAGTCCCAGACCTTGTTTACTAGACAACCTTTGCATTGAGAATAGAGGATCAACCTTTAGCCCTCAATGACTTTTTGAAATATGTGACATGTATGGATTTCCCCTCCCCCCCCCCCAAAAAAAAAACATCAACAATAGCAACAACACATTCGCAAATGGGTGGGTTGTCCCTTTGCCATATAGCTTGAAGACCCTCAGCGACCAAACACTTTTTGAAGGCTTCTCATCGACGTCGGAGCTTCGCTGTGTTCTTTAAGGAAGTTTCAGCGGAAGCTTGCGTCGGTTGCGCGTCAGACGCATGGCCGCGCCATTTCCGGCGCTTCAATGGGTTGCCTCTGTCCCAGCTGGAAACATCTTCACATGGGCATTCTGGACATACCTGGAGTTTTTATGGCCCTTGAAAAGTGGGGTCATTACCCAAAAGAAAGGAGTCATCACCCCACTTTTAAAGGGTCATGGAGAGTCTAGGTGTGCGGCAAAATAGTACCCCGATAAGTCGTGGCTTTCCTTTCGGTGTCCCTTTGGACCAACCCGAAAAGGGTTCCCTGAAAAGAGGAGCCACCCATATGATGTACAATGCTAAAACCCTTACAGAAGATACCCCAAAACAACCAATTGCTCGTCGTCGGGGCCCGACTTTCTTGGGAATGTGACCCGAGCTGAACCTGAGCTCCACTTCAGTCACTTTTGGGGTGTGGCCAGTTAAGCGGCAAACAAACGTTTCTCACTTCCTGAGTTCATGGACTGTTGTCGCTTTTGGTTTGGGCCATTTCAGCGGTAACACACAAATCAGACTTTGCTTGGCCCGAGCCAAACCTGAGTTCTTCAACCTCAAACTGGCTTTGACTCAGTATTGGACATTCGGGAGGGCGTCGGTCTTGAAATTTTGTGCTTTATGGTCAGGGTTTTCAAGAACAAAATGGAGACACCCTCTATTATAAGCAGACGTGCCACTGTAACATAGCATTCGGCATAAGTATCCCTGGTTCTCGTAGAGGGTAAATGGGAAGCCACCGAATTACCTTCAAACCGCGAATCCCCACACCGGTTAAAGGGAAGCTGCTAAAATGGAATGGGGAGAGGGGCACGGTGCATGCCCCAAAAGCAACCGCCAAGCTTTTCGATGCGGACGGGAAAAAATGGGGTGCTGGGCGCTTCGCGTATCGGAGAACTCCTGCCAAGCATCGAAATGTTTAAGTACCTGGAGTCGCCTTCTGACCCTTAAAACATGGTTGGTCAGTACCCAAAAGAAAGATTCGGGTCATGGACTGGCCCATTTTTACAGGGTCAGATTCGGAGAGTCTAAGTACCCAAAGTCTCCGTGACCCCCAGAAAAAGGTGTTATGACCCCTTTCTTTTGGATCAAGGGGTCATGACCTCCTTTGAAAAGGGTCACGACTTCTTCAGTTGAAACTTTCGGAGCTCCTAGGCGAAAAATGAGAGCCTCTTACCCCCAGAAAATTGGCGCCGCGAAGAAGGATCGAGGTCTTGGGGTGTTCGGGGATCCGATCATAGCGGCGAAAAAGGCCTTCGGAAACGAGACGAAGACCTCCAGCGCTGCCGTTGTTTTTTAGTAATTATATAATTATTATGATTATTTATTATTACTTCTTCTTCTTTTTTTTGGGGGGGGGTGCGTTTCCCTACCAAGAGCAAGTACCTAGACTCTTCATGACCCTTAAAAGATGGTTGGTCACTCAAAAGAAAGGGACGGGTTTGCCATGGACTCCTTTGTTCAAGCGGCGAAACAAAAGGTTACGTCTCGGTCCAAAGCGAGCCTCCAGGTTTCGTCAAGGTACCAAAAAGGTGAATCTGTTGATTCCAGGTCCTTGGAGCAAGTGTACTAATTCCTTTGCATTCCTTTGCATTCCTTTGCAGCATCTAATTCCCTTGCACTCCTTCGCATCTCATTCCCTTTGCAGTTCATGGCACGAGTGAATGCTCTTGGAGTCCCGCGGGGAAGAAGAAGAAGAACAGGTGAGGACTTGGAGGTGACTCACTTCCTGAGTTCATGAACTTTAAACTTTTTGGGAAGACCATTTTAGTGGTAAATAACAAGTTTGGACTTTTTTTTGGCCATCCACTCAGCCAGTGAGGTGAAGATAGAGGTTTGAGGTGTAAAACATCCCACTTCCCCCCCCTCCCCGCCCGATGTTCCGTATAGGACCACGCCTGAGTTCAGGCTGCAGATTTTCACGTCCTGGGGTGAAAAGCGCCGGATGCGACATCACCCATCGCGGTCTTCCGTAAGATTGCTTGTTTCCAGGTCTTCCGTTAGCTTAAGAATATTCAGCCATCCTTTTTTTGTTTTGGTATTTTAGGCGTTTAGTGGGGGTGTCCATTGTTCCATCCGCAAAAGTTAAACACTTTTGGCAGGGGATGGGAGGACCCAGTCAAGAATATGCTTTACTTTCCCGCTGTTGGCTTTCAATGGAATCTTTCCCTAGGCGTACCTGGACCTTCCTGTACTGAAATTAGGCGGAGTGTCCCAAAAAAAAGTGCCCACGGAAGGTCCAGGTATGTGTTTTTGTAGGGGACTTTAGCAACTGGAGTGCGGTGAATCATTGCTTGATGGATCTAAGTACCACCTGGGTGCATTCCCGGTGCTGACGCGCAATCCGCTTCTTGCACCACGAAATGAAACCATGGGGAATGAAACCATGGTCGAGTCGGTGTGTGTCTATTTGCAGGGGTAACATCATTCTGGGGCTACCTTCCCCATTCTCTCTAGGGATCCTTCTTTCTAGAAAACCTGCAGAATCCCAAGGAAAACGGCAGGTTTTTGAAAACAACGATGGTTGAAAAGAATGGGGAATCAAGCCCTAGAATCATTCCAGGTTTTCTGGGAGGTGCATCCGTCCACAGTACAAGTAAATGACTCCCTAGACTCCTTGCATACTTCAACCGCACCCTCCCCACGAATTCTGCATTGCCTTACGTAGTGCACGCCATGAAGTTCAAGAATGAACCTCAAAACTTGAGTTATCTTTGCATTTACAGCCAGTAACCAGTTGCGGGCCCCGGAAAAGCGCTCGTTGTTTCGCCTGCAGGGCAGCTTGTTGTCCCCGGATCTAAGTAGAACCGGTTCTACATGGCCCCTCCACATGTGGTCTGATTCCAACCACTCAAAGGGGAAAATCAATCTGGGGTTCGTCATCTTCCATTTGCTCAAATTTATAGTGTTAGTTTACCCTCTTGGTTTTGAAGGGAATCTATCACCGCAGGATTTTTGTATGTTTTCCAGGGGGCACATCCGCAAATGGAAGACATTTGTCCGGGACTTAGCTAAGTGGGTTGCTTACATTGCCCACCAAAGCCATCTTTGCAGTCGGACCCGGGCAAAGCCGACCATAGCGATTCCTCCCAGATCAAAGTAGAATCATGGTGAACACAGAGTTGTGTTGCCACTCGGGTCTGTTTTGAGGCCCCTTTTGGTTGCTTTTTTGAAGGAACACCACACGAACACCCAGCAATTTTGAGGGATAGCGCCCTATTTTTTGAGGAGACCTACCCAATTTTGGCCTCTTCACATTGAAACGATACCTTTGTACCGAATTGGATGGTTTTGGTACGTTTAAAAGCAATCTGAGCAATGATGATGTGATAATTGGGTGCGTGTTGACATAAGGGGACCCCCAAAATGGCTTCGGCGTTGCATGTGATTTCCCATTACAACCATCAAAAAAGGGGTACCCTCAAAAACAGACGCCCAACTATTCTCATGTGCAATTGGTTAGCCCTTAATTTTTGGACCGGTGCCACCATGTTTCGCACGTACAGATCAGACACATGCGCATGTAACATGTACAACTATGCATTATGAATACTATATATGTATACCTGGACCCTCAACTGCCCGTAAAAGGGGGATAAGCTACAGTTTATCAGGGTAGTTTCAGGGTTCAGGTACACACATCTACCCCCTACTTCAAATAGCACTTTTTCCAGGGTATGGCCGGGTACGATGGCAACCCCTGGCGAATAAAGGAGATAATTACCCTGGAAAACCAAGTTTTCCTGAAGAAGTACCCTAAGCAAAACGAGTATGTGGAGTAACGGGTACCTAGAATCTGCACGGCCCTTATAAAATGGTTGCCACGTTCGGCTGTTCTTCTCGCATCCCCGCCCCCTTGGCCATTTATACTTCCATTTTCCCTATGGGGAAGACTAGAGAAATGAAATCAGGGGACCTCCTACCCCCTCCCCCTAAGGTAGCGGGTGTTCTTCTCGCTGCATCCATTGGCTTCGCCAGGAGAGCCCCTACGGGGATTCGGATGACACTGGCCAGGCGAGTTTGACTCGAAGCGGGAGTCGGTGGACGTTCGGAATCTGAGACAGCTTTGCCCTCGACAAAAATTGGGTCCCAAGTTTTCCTGCCCTGGTTGTTTTCAAGGGACCCTGAAGGTCGGGGTTCTCCATTAATTAGAGGGTCCGGGGGTGCAACGGAGGGGTCATGACCCTTAGTTAGGGCCCAAAAACAATCCATCGACCCTTGGGGCGAGGTGGTTGTTCCCAGTAAAAATACGGCCAACGAGGGGGATTGCGGCCCTCGACAACAGCTGGCCGGTTTGGGCTTGAATGACGGACCAACCGTTGACTTACCCAGTCGGGTTTTTAGGCGTAGGCCGTCGGAAAGCCACGGGCGAACTCAAGGCGGCGGAGAAGCAACCGCCTTTTTGGTCAGGTTACCCCCTACTCCAAAGACCAACGCTTTTTTCAGGGTATTTTTGGGAAACCTGGTTTTCCCCATGGTAAATACCTCCTTTATTAGTAGAGGGTCGACAGTATACCCTGAAAAAAGTGGGTATTTGGTGTAGGGGGTACTCTTAGGTGGTTTGCACGGGGCGCAGGGCTTGGAAGCGCTGGGCCCCGGAATCGTCTCTCCTTGTATGGCTTTGAATTGGAGTCATTCTCGAGGAGTCTAACCAAAAGCGGGCAGATAAGTCACCAGGGGGCAGCCTCGCAAAAAGCGACAGTCAGGCGCCCTTGTTTGTCAAGAATTGAGCTGACCCAGATCCCCACCCCCTCAAAAATGGAATTGGGGGAGGGGGGTGAACCCTGGAATGGTGAACCCTGGAATTCCATTTGTGGTTTGATTTTCGCTTTTATGGGGAAGACTAGATAAATGGAACTGGCGACCCCGCACCCCCCTTCCCCTTAAGGTAGGGGGGATGTACCCAGAAAGGTTAATTTCAGCCATCCAGTTTTGGATTTTGAAATCATCAGCACTCGCAAGCATGTACGTTTTCCCGATTTAATGGACTTGAGTTTACGTTTTTGGTTTGGACATTTTGTGTGCAAAGGACATACATACTTTTGTTGGTCAGGAAGTGAATGTATATGAGTTTGTCACAGCCAGACACCATCCTGCTAGTGGCACTGGTGTCCGTTTGTGCGGTTCTGTATACAAAGGCCAGTACTTGCACTGGAAATTGGACGGGATCCCTGCCGTGGATGGTTGCGAATCCAGTTCGCACTACTTATATACATCATGGTTGCAACCATAAAGTTTGTTGGAATTCACAGGGAATCAAATTTTGCCAGGATTTCTGAAAGGGGGTGCCAAATGGCTCCACAGTATGGTTGTTTTTTTGGTGAGGAGTCAAGATGTGGCTTCCATGCCCTCTCCAACTTTTGTCACCCTTTTTGCCTCACAGTGTGTTCTCCGGAAAGCAAGTAGTAAACCCTGCCCCAGGGTTCAACCCCCCTTGAAGGACTAGTTAACCCAATTTACACGATGACACTCCTTGCTAAAACGTCTTGGGCGCCAGATCGGGCATGCCAGATCCTTGGTCCTTCGGGGATCCGCACGGGGGAAAAGTGTTGCCTAAGAAAAACAGATTGACCTTCATACCGACTTACTCCCTTCGAAGAGTTCATGGACTTGAGTCGCTTTTGGGGTTCTGACCATTTTGGCGGCAGGAAGAAAGTTCGAAGACTTGTTTGACCCAGTTCACTGGATCGGAAGTGAGCCGAACGGGGCGTTGATTTTCCTAAAATGGGTGGGTGGTGGAGAAAACCGATTGCCCTGTTCGCATAAAACCGATGGGTCCTACGAACATTGTCTTGCAACACCTAATTCGTCAAGTTCTATCTTAGTTGGCATCCTTCACTTCTAGCTTTTCTTTTTCCTTTTTTTTTTGGGGGGGAGGGGGAGGGGGTCCTAACGGTTGTTGCTTTCTTTGCGCGAGGAGGGTTTCGGGGTTTCTTCAGGCGGGTTCTTTTAGTTCCGCTTTCTTGCCCTCCTTCAGACTCAGTGCCAACTCCCGGTATCTATCTGGTAACGACTAGCGACTCCTGACCGAAAAGAGGGGCAAAGAACAAGCACGCTGGACCACCAGGAGTCAGGGGGTTCTGGTTTTTGTCTTTCAGCTGCCACTGGACCACCAGGAGTCAGGGGGTTCAGGTTTTTTTTCTTTCAGCTGCCTACCGTGAAATTCAACACACTACGGCAGGGCTTCCGTTTGATTCAGCTTCCCGCCCCGTTTTGAGGGAGTTTCTTCAGGGATGTTTAAAGGAGAAAGATGGGGGGCACCCTGGGTGAAGCTAAATTGAAGGCTAAAGTGAGTGCTGTTTGTGCACTCTGCCCTTTTAAGTTGGCGTTCCAAAGCTGCTTCGTATCTTGTCGTACACAGACCCAGGAGAACACAAACATGTTTAGCTTTTTTGGCAAAGATGAGCTGCCCGTGGGTGGATCATCGTTGGGCCATGGATGCTTACAGAGCGATACACGCTTGTTGGGTCTTGGGTGTAGGGGGTACCCACAGGGCTGTGGCTCAAAAACCGAAATTCCAAACTGGGTTGCCCTGGTAAGTGGAAACATGCACCAAAACCTGCGGTTTGCCCCTCCTGTTAAATTTTGAGCCACACCCACATTTGTGCCATAGTCATGGCTAAAAGACCGATTCCTTTACTTGGGGTTGACAAAGACGGTCATCTTGGTAGGATCCTTAAGCATCAAGCTTCATCACCCCCCCCCCCCCCCACCTGGGTGTGTCCTTCCAAGATGGTACTTTCCTCGTGTTAAAAAAAAAATAAAAATACAGTACCTAGACTCTCCTTCTGACCCTTAAAACATGGTTGGTCAGACTGCCCAAAAGGATTCGGGTCATGACTGGGCCAATTCTTAGGGCTCAGATTCGGCGACTCTCGGATACACCGAGCGGATTTCCCAAGCCACTGGCTTTGAGTTCGGACCGAAAACCAACGAGTCTTCCGAAGTCCCAGGTAGGCCCGGCGAAAGGCAGAGATGCCTAGAGTCGCCGAATCTGGCCCTGCAAAAAATGGGCCGGGTCATGCCCCGCTTTTCTTTCTTTTTTCGCTTTTTGGTACCCGGCCCATTTTAGGGTCAGATATGCCCCGCTTTTCTTTCTTTTTTTCGCTTTTGGACCCACTCCATTTTTTCAAGGGTCAGATTCGGAGACAGGTGCATCCGATGCTCGGAACCGTCGCGGCCGCTTTCGCTGATCCGCCAGTGCCTCTCCATGCACCAGCCCTGGGCCTCGCTGCTGGTGCACGGCTTCAAGCGCGCCGAGGGGCGCTCGCCGGGGGCCTCGGGCCGACCGAAACGCCACCGGCCACCGGCAAGTTGCAGGAGGCACGGAATGCTGCCATGGGCTGAAATGAATGTGTTGTTTTTCGTCCCTGTTGGCTTTCAGAGCGTGTCTACCACTACTGGAATTATGTGTTGTTGTGTTTTTTTTTTCCCCGGGGACTTAGGCTAGTTGAAGAATGCGATTTGCAGAATTGGTGCACACGCACAAAGGAAGACATCCAACATCAACCAAGCTCGGGAGGTTCTTTTTCCAAAAGGGCAACCAGGCAACTTGTGGGCTCGTCTGTTTTGGAGTTGGTACCTACCCCGTTTTTTAAATTGGTGGTTGTAAAGGAAACCAGCAGGACACCAAGGCTTTCTAAGAACAGTAACATGGCCATGGGTCAAACTCCAAATCGTACCCCCAGTGAACATCCCAATCCCCACTAACATAGGTTCTAAAATGGGTGGTGAATTCACCTACCCCAAACTGGGTGACCCATTGGTTTTGACAACCACAGCCACATGGGTATGACTCCCTGTGTCACTGAGATCCTGGACGAGAAGTTGTTTGAAACGTGGCGATTCGACCTAGCGGCTACAAACAACCTGTTCTTGGGTACATTTTGCTTGGATGTTAGGACTTTAACTTTTTGCCAACTAATGGGGTTTTCCATATTAAACCACTAAAAAATAAACTTTTAGCAAGGGAGCAGAACACAACCGAGTGTTTACGGGGGAATGACAACTAGGGAATCCCATTTGAGGGGGGGTGGTCCAAGCGGGGGGGCTCCCTAAGCAACCCTAAGCAACCCCAGGGAACCCTAAGGAACCTCCGCTTGTATTCCAGACAAAATTCGGGGTTTGACCTGGTGGCTGCTTGAGGGAGACAATGCTCTCGGATTCGGCTGCTTCCTCGAAAGGTGGAAACATGACCATCGAGGACGCGGATTGAGGATTTGACGCTTGGAGTGGACTCCATTTTGCCCTCCCAGGTTGTGACTCAAGGCGCCTCTGGTTGGCTTCCGTCCAGTTCCCTTAACCATCGAACAGGGGCTTTTGTGTCATGTCTTGTAGCGGGCCCCTTTGAAAGGTTTGAATTCAAGCTATCCACACCGCCATCTGAAAGCATGCCCATGGTCCAGACCATGTTCCTCTGTCTTAAGCTGTCGACTGACCAATTTATTGAGGATGATCCCAACCAAATCGTATGCAGGAGCCCTAGCCGGACTACCATTCCATTCGTGTTGTCGAGTTTCTTCTGCAAGGAGTTGAAGATAGCACGAGGTTTAGTTTTGAGGTTCGCGCTTGGGCATAGCTTTGACCCTTCTCGCGCTGTCCCACTCCCGGGGATCCTTCCCATGTCAACAAACAATTTTGGTACAATGTACGGTGGAAAAGAAGAGTGACCCTAAGGGTCGATGGATTGTTTTTGGGCCCTGAAAACTGGGTGTTTTCCATCGGGCCATTGGTCGGAATTGGTCGGAATTCTCCATAGGGTCCGGGTCCCGGTGTGCATTGGGGTCATGGCCCCTAGGGGATGAGACTTTATGTTCTATATGGCCATGACTTTGTAGCAGAAGAAACCTCCAAAATGGTTGGTGGTCACCACAATTTCCACCGAAGTGTGATTCGGCCATGCTGGGCTATATTTAATACATAACAGGAATCAAGTTGACTCTGTCGCATTCGGGGAGCCATGGTCATAACATTCGGGGAGCCATGGTCATGATATTTTGTTGATGAACTTGGCCTTCCATGCGCGTGAGAATACGTTATTTGTTTTTTTTCTATTATTAGTTATTCTTTTGTTATGATTATTACAATTATACTTATTATTATTATTATTATTATTATTATTGTTTTGACTTGGTGGTTTTAAAGGGAATTTACCACTACTGGAAATATGTTTTTCTCCAGGAGGCGAAATAAGTAAATGGAAGTGGCCGAGCATCCAAGGGACCAACAGTTACTGTGTACACCATGCTGAGTGAAAATCTGCCGAGGCACCTCGCTTTTTCTCCGCGGTATTTACTTGGTTGCCGCGTTGCTGGTTCTGGTTGGCCGTTTCCCTTCGACTGCCCCAACCACAGGGCCTAGTCCACGGGTTTATTTGCATGCTGAGTGAATCTGAGGCATTCCATGCTCACGCCAGAGTTGGCCTGCGGGGGCGTGCTTTGATTTCATTTTTCCTTGGCGTCCAGCGTGGTTCAGCGTTGTTTTGTTCTTCCAAGCTGAGTTCAAGAAAACAAACAAGGTGTTACTTTTCTGTTTGACCGCTTGACGCTTGGTGCCCTATTTGCAGCCATTCACTGGTTTTCAGAGGTATAGTCGTTAAAAAGGGTGGCCTCGTTCCCATAGCTTCTCGCAAGCAATGGACCAACTTGTCCCTTTTTCCAACAACAACAACCAAGCTCAGGGCTGGTTCTTTTTCCCAAGGGCAAACAGGCAACTCGTGGTTTTGTCAACAACCAAGATTTGGCAACTCGTGGGTTCGTCTTTTGTCGGAGTTGGTACCCCTTTGTTGGTGGTCAACCCCATTGAGTGGTTTTAAAGGAAACCAGCCTGCTTTTTGGGAAGCCACAAGGTGGAAACCACCAGCCAAATGCAACTTTTGGGGAAATCCAGTCCCCCCCCGCCCTGTTTTTTTGGGGGGTGCGACTCCTAAACAAAGAGACCTGTGATATTGCCCCACAAGTTTGGGTTGGAATATCAACCAATTTTAAAGGGCAGTTTGAAGTCCAGGTTGTCCTCAGATTTCCCTCGCACCATGTTGAAGGGAAATCCAGTCGGAGGGAAATCCAGTCCCCCCTCCCCCCTGCCATGTTGGGGAGATTCCGAATCCTAAAAGAACTGAAACTATCCTAAAAGCAGACCTGAGCTCTCAAACTACCCTCAAAAAAGGTATCTTGGCCCCGTAACTTTTTGGGTTGCAAGATCAACCATGGGCAGTTTCAGGGTCCAGGGAGTTCTCCCAGATTTCCCTCCAGGTAGTCCTCCAGGTAGTCCTCCAGGGAGACCCATTTTGGTGTGGCTCAAAATTAAAGGTCTATGGTTACGCAGGTTTTAGTCTTTGGTTCCACTTACCAAGGTGCCATTTTGGTACATCTATTTGAGCCACAGCCATTTGGCTTCGACACCCATTTTGCAGGACGGCTTTGGATCCACGCCACCAGCAAGGCCCCGGATCCGCAGGAGGTCGAGGAGCTGGAGACGAGGCCACCCGAAAAAGAAAAAAAAGGAGAACAAAAAAGGCATGCGCGCGCGTTTTTGGGATGTTACCCTCACTATTTGGTGGTTTGGACAGGTGGTTTGGTGGTTAGCGCGTGGTTTTGGTGGTTCAGGTTTTGTGTGATATATATATATATGTGTATATATATATATATATTTACCGGGGGACAGGAGGTAACCAGTGGTTGCCCCGTTTTTGGAGGGTGACTACCTAGACTCTCCATAACCCTTAAAAAATGGGGTCATTGCCCAAAAGAAAGGGGTCATGACCCCTTTTTCTAGGGGTCACAGAGACTCTAGGTACTCACTTTCTGAGTTCTTGGTGTTGATTCTTGTTGGTTTTGGGGAAAGGAGCCTAGTGTCAGGTAACCCGTCCGATTGGTGCTTTGGATTGGCATTTTCATGGGTGGTTTGGCGTTTTTTTTGGGGGTGTTCCATATATTCTGAGGCACCAAGGGTTCAAATCCCCACAATCCAAACCACCAAGGGTCACCTGATACTCAGCGGTTACCCCTTTTGGAGGGTACCTAGTCTCCGTGAGCCCTAGAAAATGGGGTCATGACCCCAATATTTTGGGCAATGACCCCATTTTTACGGGTCATGGAGAGTCCAGGTACTCACTTCCTGAGTTCTTAAGGACTTGAGTCACTCTTCGGAGCATGTGGTAAACGACTGAATCCATGCGATCGGAAGTGAGGGCCTTGCGGAAGCCGTAAGGAAACCAACGACGTTGAGAAACGCGTGACTATATACCTAGAGTCTCCTTTCCGACCCCTAGAAAAAGGGGTCATGACCCCAATCTTTCTTTTGGGCAGTCTGACCAACCATTTTTTAAGGGTCAGAAGGTGAGTCTAGGTACTTCCTTTTTTTGGACTTTGCTCCTCTTAAGTCCGACCCCCATTTTCAGAAAAAAAACTGCCTTTCGGACCTGGAGGTACCTGGGACTTCTTCGGAAGATTCGTTGGTTGTCGGTCCGAACTCAAAAGCCGGTGGCTTGGGGGTTCCACCACTGGTTGCAATCATAGGTGTCCTTTTTGGTTGTTTTGGCAGAAAAATAGATGGCTGGTTTACCTGGTGGTTTAATCATCTACCAGGGCCATCTATTTCCCCTAAAAGGACGCCCATGGTTGCAATATCCGCAATTTTTGAGGCTAGTTTGAGGGACAAGGTTCAGATTTTTCAGATTGACTCTGCCTCATTTGTTGAACCCCCAAAGGCCTCGACGTTTTGTCGAGGTACTTGAGCGTCTACTCAGCCGCCGGTGTGCCTGTGCCGCTGTGGCCTCGGGCGGGCAACTAGAGTGGTGGAGTGGCAATCACGGAGCAATCCCTACCCCCAAAACTTGGCGATCAGTGCGAGAGATGGAATTGGAATGAGAATTGGAATGACCCTGAATGTTCACCCCATAAAAGTCAACCCCAGCGGTGTTTTTCTTTCTTTTTTGGGGTGCTTCTTTCTGGGTGAAATGTGGTTGGCATCAAACCAGTTCTTGGAGGGGCCAAAAACCACCCCCTATTCATAAACCGGGGTTGATTTATCTGGCAACATTCGTCAGGGAATTAGAAATGGAATGACCCCGAGACAACCATCCAACTGGTGATTTCCCTTAAGGGGACCAAAGCTTGAAACGGTTCATTCCCACATTGCCTACTGATCGCGGCAGCAAGAGAAAGGGAACATATTGTGGGTGTGCTAACGTTGTGTCTTGAGGGTGCCCTTGTTGCCTTGGCTCAAAGGGAAGCCAGTTTGAAAAACACGGGGCATCCCTTCGACACATTGTACTCAGTTGGAAGCCATTTAATCTCCTCACCAGCAGGAATGCCGCCCACCAGGAATGACAGATGGATTCGCAAAATTGGTGGCGCTCCACGGACGGGACCTTCCAAGGATTCACCGTGTTCGCGGACACCGCCGTCCACAAGACGATGTGCAAAACAGTCTTGCAGCACCTGACCGAAGATGGAATGATGTCGGAACTAGCTCGTCATGGTTTACATGGACGACGTCGTCCTGGGAGCAAAGCTACTGGAAGTCACTCAGATGCCCGCGATTTCCAGGTGGGGCAGAAGCAAGATCGATCGTCAACTTGGGGCAGTGTAACTTGTCGAAACTTCCCCAGAATTAGTTCCTTTTTTTTCTGTTTTTTTTTTTTTTTGGGGGGGGGTTCCCTTTGTCCACGAATCAGGCAAGCCAAAAAACATGTTTTTGCTGGGGTCCGATTTTTCCAGCCAAGGAAACAGTTAAACATGTGCCTGATCCTTAGCAACCAAAAGCAGTTTGGAAATTTTCAGGGGAGGCCAAAGATGTGATCTTGAGCTCACTGCCTATCGAAATGGTTTCCCTTTCGAAGTGGTCAGAAGGAGAGCCTAGAAACCTTGGAAATGGTTGGTCATTTCCCAAAAGAATGGGGTCATGGACCCAGTTTTTAAGGGTCACCAGGAGAGTCTACTAGGTTTCCCGGTAGTGCCCTTTCTCACCCAACTTTTTTGGTTGGGAGGGTTCCCCTGCTAAAATCGACGTCCTGAGAGAAGTTGGTACCCTGATTCTAACCTCTGGACCTAGCCTTTTAGTGGTCCATACCTTAGGTTTTTTTCAAATTGGTTGACCGTTCACCGGTGATGTCCTTCCTGTGCCACAGGCGACAGTTATTGCCAAAAAGCCCCTCTTAAACAACCTTGTGACTGCTTTGTCTTCTCACTTGCCCAAACCCGACCTTTTGACCGGTTGGTTTCCCTTTTGGTTTTGTTGCATTTGAGGTCATGGCCCCAAAATCCTGTATTTCGGTCCTGTGGGCAACTGAGGCTCTGAACTGGTTGCTAATTCGCCGCTGGTTTGTTTCTTTCAGTATTGCCCAGTTGCCCAGTGGTGCCCTTTTTTCCTCTTTTTTGGGGAAGGGTTCCCTTTAAACTCAACCAACTAAAAAAAAGATGCCCTTTTTCCCCTGGCCACTGGGCATCTGAGATTCAGCTCCCAGTCCTTCAAGAACTGCGAGCCCAAGAACTTCCCGTTGACATTCTCCAGCTTTGGCAAAGGCTTTCGAAGGAGCATGAGCAAGAACATGGTTGTTGTTGGGAAACATTTTGCATTTTTACTTATTGTGGTTTAGTGGTTGAAATCCCCATCTAACTGCTAAAAAATAAATTGGTTGCTCCCCTTCCAACGTCAACCAAGAGAATGCCACTGCAAAGATGTGGAGGATGATCAAAAGGTCCGTACATGGGATGACCAGTGTGAGAACGCACCAAAACATGATACTGTATGTCCCCACTCAACGGGAAAAAGTGATCCATGGTCATTTGGGGCAAGAAAGGAGTATTGATCAAACCTCACGTGGCATGATTTCTGCAGAATGCAACTTTCCAAGGACCCTACGCCATTTCGCAATTATTTGGGCTAGCGCACCCGTAAGTCGACGGCCACTACCCATGGCTTAAGGGCATAGCTACAGGAACAGGTCGTTATAGTTCTAGTGCTACCTTCCCCATTCTTTCCAGGGATCCTTCTTTCTAGAAAGCCTCCGGAAACACAGGGAAACGGCCGGTTTTTGAAAAGAACAATGGTTCAAAAGACTGGGGAATCTACATTTGTGGTACGGAATATCCTAAAGGTCCGCAAGTGATAAAGCAGTCTGGGGGATAGACATCAACCACCTTGGTATCACCTTCTTATCTGTTCCACCATGCAACACTTGGTGCGCCCAGCTCTGCCCTTGCCTCCAATTTGCTTCAGACAATATGTTCCTTGCAGATAGAACAAGTGGAGCCATGGGCTGCAATGTCTCCCATCGCTATGGCTCTATTTCAAAATAAGATTAACGGAGAAATGGTGATCACTGGTAATTGCTTTGGGATGGTGTGAAATGCAAGAGAAAGTCGCGAGTAGGCGTGTCTCCCACAAGGGGTGGCTCTCCTGCGGTTTTCTTTTCAATCAACCTCAAATAGAGGGTTTAAACACACGCACCGATACAAAAGGTCTCTTTTACTCGAAAACTCCGCAAAGGGCAAAACCGTTTTAGATCTTTGGGCGGGGAGGGTAACAGAATCAAAGTACAAGCAGGTAAAGCATACCCCCCAAAGGAAACATGGTTGAAGTCCTTTTTGCTTTGCCACGTGCCGTGTTTTGCCATGGGTGTGTGTGTGTGTGACTTTACTAGGACAAACCAAACCGCAAAAACACACCTTCTTCGCTTGCCATGTGTTTTGCTGTGCGTTGCCATGGTGTGTGATTTGTAAGAGTACCGTATTCGAAAGGATTTTTCGGGTACTCTCTTTGGGGTTGGTTTCAAGACTAAGACAAACCAGAATAAATACACCAGCGTAGACCCCACGAAATGGGAAACTTCAGCACCCTGACCACCCGTTTTGGGGTCCAGACACACACCTTCCACGTCCCCTCGCTGAGAGGCCCGTGCCTTCCCAAGCCGGGGGCTACCCCACCTCTGCCAGGGCCTCATGCCCCGTTAGACCCTTGTCCTCAGTGCCAGAATCGCATCACTTCTCCTACTGCTGATGGAAGAAATCCATTTCGTACCGCTTTGCAACCGTGAAACGCCTCTCACCCAACTTTTTTGGTTAGGAGAGGGTCCCCTACTAGAATAGACGTCCTGAAAAAGTTGGTACCCTGATTCTACCCTCTCTACTGGAGGACCTAGTCTCTGGAAAACTGGGGTTTTTGTGGTTGGATGTTTCACTTGGATCTGCGTTTGTTATGGCCTGTGAATTGAATCTCTTTTTCCTTAGCTATTGGGGTCAGTAAGCTAACAGCCCCTGAGCCAGAAACTCACGTTAGTCGAATAGCTAGCAGGGGGCAAGTTTAATTGTTCGGTTTCCGCGTCCTCCAATTTGCAGTGCACCAGGGGTTGTTGTTCACTTGGATTTGCGTTTGTTACTTGTCTCTGCGACGCCTTCATGATGTTCTGTGATTTAAACTTTGCCTTGTTGTTTGCCACTCTTGGCTTCGCACTATTTTGCAGTGATGTCAGGGCATATATACAGCACCCCGCAGTACTTGCGGCAAGCGAGGCCCACCAAAAGGAACGCATGGGGGCAACTGCTTTTTTTGCTCAGTTGTCACAATGCGAGTCGACCTTTTGACCTTTTAACCTTTTGGCTCTTCCATTCTTCTAGGGGGTTCCCTATTCTTTACAGGAATCCTTCTTTCTAAAAAGCCACCCAAAACCCTGGGGAAACAGCGATCCGTTTTTGAAAAGAACGATGGGTGAAAAAGAATTGGGAATCAACCCCTAGAATTCTGATCCCTTTTTTGCCCATCATGGCAACCCAAAACGTGAAGCCTTTATTTCCAGGTCCTTCTGGGGTAAGTGAGTTTGGTGATCCGGATTAGGTGAATCTTACTGCAACCTCTTGGCTCAAAGACCACTTGTCGGAGTTCTGTGGCGAGGCAATATCCTTGTCGCTTCCGACTATTTGCCATGAACAGTTTATTTGAACCCTCCAAACCAGTCCCTTTAAAGGACTTTTGAAGCAACCCCACAAAATGGAGCATTGCTGATAGTAGATGAAGTGCTAGTGGACACAGAGACCACCCAATTGTTTTATTGTACTGGGGAGCCTGAACATGTCCATTGAGGCACAGTGGCGTTTCTCAAAATTGGTCAATGAACGGTCCTCCCAAACGGAGTATGTCCTAACCCAGTGATTCCAAATCCTTTGTAGTAGCCAAGGGAGCCATCCTTTAAACTCACAAAGGAAGATGGCTGGTATCTGGCAGCCACTGAGTCATTGAGTCGCATTGGACCCCCCCCGTCACGTCTCCCAATTTTGAGTCGCATTGAGTCGGGATTTCCTTCTTTTTTCCGGGACTTGGCAAAATGTCTATTCCTGGTTATAACCCGCCAATGGTTGTAACCCCCCCTCCACTTTAAGTAATTTGGCAAAGTTGCGCATTCTTTGATAGCCCACTTGTGCTTGTAAGCCAACCATTTAAGCATTTAGGCGGGAAAGCCTGGTTAACCACTTAGCCGAGTCCGGGGCTAAAGGGGTGGGGTAGGAATTGGATCCTATGAACATGTGTTTTGCAGCCATCCCGAAGCTTCGAATCCCGGTGAGTTGCGAAACCTGGTTTTAACCACGTCTCAGGTTGCCCGATTGCTCAGCTTTTTTTTTTACCAGGGCTATTTAAAATATCCCGTTTTTTCGAGGGCTGCATCTTCCAGGTTTTTGCGCGGGCATCCTTTCTTGGGTTGTTTCAAAGGGAAACCAAAAGGAAAGATGTTCGGGCGCCATTTTGAGACAAGCCCGAAACCAGTGCCACTAGAGGTTTGGGCCGTGTTCCATGCCCGAAAGGGCAAGTGGGTTGTGGAACCAAGGGTGCGGACACAACCGATCTGCGCAGGTCTTTTGAAGGCACCTTTTTTGCCCGCGAAAAGGGGGTCTCAAAATGGGGGACCAAATGGGCGGTGTCTTTTGATTTCCCTTTCAAACCGACCAAAAGGGGGGTACCCTCAATAAACAGACATGCCCAAATAGAGCCAAAAGCGCGTATCGGATGTGAGCCTTTGGATCGGTGCCTCCAGTTTGTTCGGGATCAGGTGTTCAGGGTCTTAACGTGCCGGGTTTCTCTCTTAGGCGAGCCATTGCAGCATTTCTTAAATCTCCAGAAGTAGTGTTTCCCAGGGTGAATAGACACACCTAGAGTCTCCGTGACCCCTTGAAAAAGGGGTCATGACCCCTTTCTTTTGGGCGATGGCCCAATTGTGTAATCCATGAGTCTAGGTAGATGAATTCTGAGGTAATTTTACGGACACAATCAGCTCCGGAAGGAGTGCGGGTCTTACCTTTTAGATGCAAGCCTCATTTGAGTGAAGCATGTGAGACTGCTGGGGTGCACCTATTGCTGCGGGATGTCCGGGATGTCCTTGAATCCACCAGATTGATTGATCCAGGGTCAAGATGTTTTTTAGGCGGGTCAAGACGCGAACCTGGTCTGGAACTCTACATACTGGTGCACCTTAGCTGAAACTAATAGACTATATGCGTAAAAGGTTGAAGATATGGCTGACTTCCTACTGCAAGCAGGGCACCAGTTGAGCAAAGCTCATGAGTTTCCATGATGCTCTACGCTTTACTCGCAGTAGCTCAGAAATCTTTGCCCCTAGAAGTTAACATCGAGTCCGAACAGCCATTTTGAACGAGGGAATCTCCTATCCCGAGGAGCCCCTTGGACCTCATTATTTGAGGCCTCCAAGGGGGGTCAAAAGACCCCATACAGTGGTTGGACGAAATCGTGCACCCCGCAAGAATCACTGAAATGATGATTTCCTGTGAATACCAACAAACGACAGTTTCCCATGGTCTCAACGTGGTGCGCAATGGATTTCGTCCGTCGGCAGTATTTAGGGTTGTCTTGGGGCTCCTAGGGTATCTTAATCAGAGGGGAATGTCATCCCCACCCCTTCAAACATGGAATTTGGGGGAGGGGGGTGACCCCTGCAGGTCTCCATGCGTGGTTCCATTTTTCCCTTTTTTGGGGGAAGACTAGATGTAGATAAATGGAATTTGGGACCCGGGGATGGACATGTCTGAGGCTTTATTGGGTTGCGTGGACGTGGAGGCATGCTGGAGCAACGCCGAGCTCGAGCCCAAGCCCGGGGTCGAGCTGAGATTTTTTTCTGGAGTTATAACCTTCCTCCCCCCAAAAAGCAATATACTTAGATGGTCTGGAAGTTAGCTAAATGGTTCGCTTTACCCTGGTTGTAAACCACTTGCCATGGTTGTAAGTCCTCAAAACCTTACCTTGAGTCTCCTTCTGGCCCCTTTAAAATGGTTGGTATGACCCAAAATAATGGGGACATGACCCCATTTTTTAAGGGTCACGGAGACTCCAGGTACTTAGATGGTCTGGAAGTTATTATTTGTTTTAGCTTTGGTTTGGTTGTCACTTACCATGGTTGCAAGTCCTCTATGCCTAGTACCAACCATTTAGCTACGCCCCCAGACCATCTAGGTAGGGCCCTTTCTCATGCTGGCCCTTTCTTTTGACAGGGTTTCCCAGGCATTTCCTTTTTGTTCCTCCTCGTTCAAGTTGGAACCACTCAAATTTTGGAGCTCCAGTGACCCCTGTACACTTTGAGGACAAACTTCCCTGACTTGGGCCAAAGATCCACAGGGCCACGGGTTTTAGCATGTCCTCTCGAGAGGGCGTCTGCTGAATAGAGGAACCTTAGTGCGTCCGTCCTTTCTGGCCTACACTGGTTTTCATTTCAGGGAGTCCAAACAGAATTTGTTTGATGGTTCACAAGCTAACGGATATTTTGCTCTCCTTTTGGGGCTAAGCCCTTAGCCCCAGCCCTGCCAAGCATTTGCAGAGTTCGCCTTTCGGGTTCCTAACATCTGGGGCATGCTGAGGCTATCCCTGGGCGCATGTGGAAAGGGATCCTTCCAACTGCCGCGGATGGTCCTTATGTCGTCCGTAAAACCGCAAAAAAAAACCAAAGAAAACACGCCCCAGGAAAGACACCCTATATGATCCCCCCCCTTTGCTCTCATATGTTTGGTCCTTACTCTAGAACCCGGGCAAAGTTGGCGGGTTGCAGGTTTGTGGGTTACACCACCCATGTTGAGGCTGTTTGAAAGGGAAAGAAAGAGACATGATGGTGTGCCCAAAATCTGAGACACATCCACCTGGACCCTCAAACTACCCTTAACAATATGACATGACCCCAGTAATTCTGGGCAATATCAACCATTTTCAAGGGTAGTTTGAGTGTCCTCCCAGATTTCAGTGCATTGGCCATGGGTCAATCCCAGTGAACATCCCAATCCCCACTAAAGCAGGTTCTAAAATGGGTGGTGCACCGAAAACTCCGAAATTCTAGGGGCACCTTCCCCATTATTCTTTCCTGGTATCCTTCTTTCTAAAAACCTACCCAAAACCCTGGGGAAACAGCGATTCGTTTTTTGAAAAGAACGATGGTTGAAAAGAATGGACAAGGAATCAACCCCTAGAACCCTTCTCAAATCCGTTTCTTTTTCTCACGGCGGATTCACAAGTCGCATGGACACATCTTATGCTAACATCGGAATCCGGAGGACCCTAGTTAGAGGTACCCCCCAAAACAGATCATGTCCTTACAAGTGGAACCACCCCTGCAGATCGTAGCCGGTTTTCCCGATGAATCCGAAGTTCACATGGCCCAATCATGTACAAAATTGGGATCCCAAAACGGTTTTGACCCCACAGCCCATTGCAGGTACAGAAGCGTGCTGGCCAAGAATCCCTCCATGCCGCAGGCTAGCGCACTGAAGGGCGGGGGCAAATCGGATCCAGCGACGCTCGAATTGGACACATAGCCACGATTTGTTTTTCTGGTAGACTCCTTTCGGGTCAATTGCAACTTGCCCAAGGCGGGTCTGTTAATTTTTGTACCCCTTTCGGGGCTTGGTTTTAAAGGGGAAGCAACAGGGTTTGCGCAAATTTGGGGTGTCCGATTCCTAAGCTAGGTTCCCCAGTAGTTCCTTTCACCCTTGTTTTGGGGAGGGTTCCCCTACTACAATAGACAACATAAAAAAGTTGGTACCCGTATTCTAACCTCTCAAATCTGGAGCATCTAGTAAGAGACGCGCGTCGGAAGCCGAGGAGGAGAGCGAATCCGATTACATTTTCTGGTGCGGGGCTCAGCTGCCAACCAAATCGAAGCTACTGGAGAACACTTCCAACCAGTCTTTCCAGGGGTAGACTTAGGATACATTTTACATTTTACCAGTGACTCAAAGTGAAGCAAACAATAAACTAAACATTCTATAACTGGGTCCATCATGTTTCCAGAGATCCTTGTTTCCAGAACACCATCCGAACCCCAGGGGAAACAGCGATCCGTTTTTGGAAAGAACGATGGTTGAAAAGAATGGGGAATCAAACCCTCGAAAGCTTGCTAAGTCCACCCCTTTACCAGAGAGGGGAGGTAAGGCTGCTTCCCTACCATATGGTATTATATGGGTGTGTCTTCCAACAAGAAAAATACCAGCAAGCAACTAAAATAAATAGATGGTTGTTTTCTTTTTGCGCTCCCTTAAGCCTACCAAACAAGGGGGCACCATTCGTTAAAGAATATGTTATTTGTTGTTGTTTTTTTCCTGTTGGTTTCAACTGGAATCTATCACTACTGGAAGTATTTTGTTTCCAGGGGACTCAAGCAAATGGAATATTAGAAAAAGGGAAAAGCTGGCCATTTAGCAAGTCCTAGCCAGACAGTGCAACTAGCTTCTAGGGCAACTTCATCACAGAAGCCCAGTGGACCCGGGGCCGAGAGGTTGCCACATCCAAGCACTCACTTTCCAAGTTCTTGACTTGAGTCACTTTTGGGCTTGGACCTGTATAGTGGCAACCAACAAGTTTGGTACTTTTTGTTTATGGCCTAGACTCTCCGATTGGGAAATGTGTGCCTAGACTCTCCGTGACCCTTGAACAAATGGTTGGTCATTGCCCAAAAAAAAGATTCGGGTCACGACTCGGCCCTTTTTCTAGGGGTCACGGTGGGCTCTAGGTACTCACTTTCTGAGTTCTTGGTGTTGATTCTTGTTGGTTTTGGGGAAAGGAGGTGTCTAGTGTCAGGTATCCCGTCCGGTTGGTGGTTTGGATTGGCATTTTAATGGGTGGTTTGGTTAGGTGCATGTGCTTCATTCTTGGTTGGTTGGTTGCTCGGTTCGGAACCCCCGAGGTGCCTGAGACCTCGTCGCCTGGTGGTTCCCTTGAAGATGGGGGGCGATCACAAGGCGACGAAAGCGCTTTTTTGTGCGTTGACTAGGTCCCCCAGCTAGGTGCCCTTCTACCAATGTTTTGGAGGAGGGTTCCCCTACTAAAATAGACTGCAGAAAAAAGGGTACCCTTATTATAACCTCCCTACTGGAGGCCCTGGTTGAGCGATATCATAATTGGCAGAATTCCAGTTGCACGACCATGGAAAACCAGGGAAAGAAACAAAGAAACATGGCCTGGTCGATTCATCTGGGGGTCTCTCGCTTTTAGTGAAGATTCATCACTTTTCAAGAGAGCACCGCCTATTGTTAGGATGGGTTCATTAATCCGGGGTAACACAGAGTTCCACTGAGTGCAGTGTCTCTTGAAGTTAAATCTCGCAATACTCATCTGTGTTGAGCACATGTTGGTCATAGATGATACTCAGGATATCAAATGGAGATAATGAGACTGAATCCCGACATATCGGCAGTAACAAAAACTCTAGTTTGTATTCGATTCTTTGTACTTTTTGCTGAACCTTGGGAAGTCTACAAGGGTCCAAACAGTGTGAAGTTTTGTGAGGGGGCTGTCAGGGTTTCCACGTGAATTGCTGGACGTTGGTTGGATGCTCTGGCGGACATCATTTACATCAACTCACTCCCTGAGTTTGGTGCACGTTATACTTGGGCTGCCACCTTTTTAGGTGCAAACAGACCGTTTAGACTTTTTGTAGGGCAATCCACTCAGGAAGCGAGTTGAACAAACACGAGCAATGATCATGAGATAATCACGCTTGTTGGCCAATCCACTCAGGACATTAGTTACCTCAGGTCAACTCACTCCCTGAGTTGATGCACTTTAAACTTTTTGGGAAGACCATTTTAGTGGTAAATAAAAAGTTCAGACATTTTTTGGCCAGTCAACTTGAGAAGTGAGAATAGGCGTGTTTAACTGGCCGGAGCCTTTGGTGGACGGCATGGATTTCTGCAACGCATTGGGTAGCGCGTGCTATGAACGCCACAGCCGTTTTTGTCCTCAACTCCGGGAAAGGGAATCTGAACGCGGGTTCTGAAATTCCGACTCAGGGCACGCAATGGGCGCAAGGTGTTGGGGATTCATGTATCGAGCAATCACTTTTTCAGGTGGGAAGGATGGCCTAGCTGAATAGTTCTGGTCTATCGGGGGTGTCCCTCATGATTCCCCAGCCCAGGGACACCCAGTAAGCTGGGGAGTATCAGAAAGGTTTTTCTTTTGGTTTCCCTTCAGAACCGTTGCTTTTCAGCGTGACCCGGCACCTTGCCGTTCATTTCGCTTTCGGATCAAACCAAAATGGAAGGTGGCAGTCTAGCCGTGCTTGCTGGGCTCGTCTTTTTTTGGGGGGTCCCCCCCCCTTTTGGCGGGTTTGAAGGGAAATCCAAAAGGAACGCCGCCATTGGTGCGGCAAGCCTGGCCTTCGGAAGCCTTGATTGAGACCTGCCAGCAAGGAGCAACCAAGCACGTGCGGGTATTCCCAGCACGGCATCAAGTTGCTGCGACTTGCATTTACAAAAGACAGTTACAAAGACATGACCACCAACCCACAAGTGACAAGTTCAGCACTTGCCAACTTTCAGTCGAGATATCTCGCAAGTACATCTAGTTCTCTGAGTGGCTGGCTTGTATCGTTCTCTATCAATTTGCATGCCGCCATGTAATTCAATGTCTCCCACTGCACTCGCACTTTGTTTTTGTGTCTTTTCCCCTTCCATTTGCTTATAACATTTGTTATTTTCTCCTATTGGTTCTCAAGGGAGTCTATCACTATGGGGCTTGTTTGTTTTTCGGGGCTGTAAGGAAATGGAGGCCCCGCTTTGATTGGTTACAGTACTTGGTGGCTCCCAGCCATCCGGTTCCTTAGCTTCTTAGCCTTTAGTGTTTAGCGGTAGTTTCCGAATTTTAACCCACTACAAGTTATTCACTTTTAGCGGGGGGATCTGAGGGCAGCCCAGAGTAGGTTTTGGGTAGACCGCGTTGCCAGGTCTTGATTGCCACGGTCAGCAAATCAGAACAGCACAAAGTCTTGCCCCAGGCCTACGAGCAGTTGTTTGTCCTGTCGGAACGCACAAGATCCTGGTGATGGCCATTTCTAGAAAAGGGTTCCTCTGCCAGAATTGATGAGATATGGCGAGAAAGGGTCAAGCCATTTTTCTGCCAGATGTGATGGGGATATAGTTGGCATTCCCACGCTGACCACTTCATGACTGGTCCGGGCCCATCCGCCCATCCGCCCTGTTCCCCAGTACGCCGCTGAGTTGTTTTGCTTCTTTGGGGAAGGCTTCCCGAACCAATCATCGAGCCAGTTGCCCAGTGGCGCTTTCTTTTTGCCCCTTTTTGTGGGCTGCCGGGTTCCCCGCCCAAAAAGGTTTCCCATGTTTTTCCCAGGGTTCCCCGCCCGAAATGGTTTTTGTGGTTGTTTTTCTTTTCCCAGGCCTCCCCACGCATCTTGGCCCAAGTCACCGGTCCACTTCCGATTTCCTTCGCGCGGGTGTCTCGGAAACGGATGGGTGGCCCCCGCCGCAGATTTGGCGCCTCGAGAAGTCGAGCCTTGCACCGGCGCAGGCGCGGAGGTGACTTCTTGTTTTTGTGTTTGTTGTTTTTTTGTTTGTTGTTTTTTTGTTTGTTGGTTTTTTGTTTCTGTGTTTTTTCCTTCTTCTTTTTAAACAAAAATAGGGGTACCTTGCATTTCCATTCTTTCCCAGGGATCCGAATCTTTCTAGACCTCCGGACACTCAGGGGAAAACGGACTCGGATTTTGGAAAGAACGATGCTTGAAAAGAATGGAGTCGATTCGGTTGATCTTTTGGTTGAGCTTGCTTTTTAATTTAGCTCGCCTGGTGGTTTGGACGGTAGGGTCTACTAAAACCCCAAGGAACTGGGGTTCGCTTCCCAAACGTTGAGGCTATTTTCATCCGTCACGATATCAGGATATCAGATAAACCATAATATCAGGATAAACCATATCAGGATATTGATTTGGAGCCATATCAGGATAAACCATCGCAGCATATTGGTGACTGTGAGGGACAAAAGATTGACGCTTCAATTAGGCACTCCCTGGATGATTTGGATTGGTTTGGATTTGGATTTGAACCCTTGATTCTTAAGTAAACGGACCATGCATTTCACCCCCAAATCAAAGAGTTTCGGCTCCGAATCACCAGTTCTGCGGGAAGCTGAAAGGTCAAAATCGTCTTGGTGGTTCACGGCATCCAGTTTCTGAGGCCTTTGGTTGGTGTTTCGTCGGTGAAAGGTGGTTGGGTTTTCAAAGTTAACCCGCGAGTTCTTCACTGGCTTGAGCCATGTCCTCCATTTGGTTCAGAATATGTTATATTTCCCCCGTTGGTTTCAAAGGGAATCTATCACTACTGGACATATTTTTATTTTTTCCAGGGGACTGAAGCAAATGGATGATGCCCTCCAAACCCGGGTAGATGAAGGTTAGTGACAGATAATCCCAACTGTACATGGCTGGTTAATTATTATTTTCCTTTGGGTAGATCATTTTAGTTTCAGGTTATATATATATATAGCTCGACTTTGAAACCATGGTTGAAACCATGGGTGGTTGGTATTTCCGTTGGGGAATCTTATCCTTCCGTTGGGGAACTCTGATTTTTCGGCGCGATTTCGTGGGGATTTCGCCTTTCCATCCGTCCGGATCGAAGCGGAACCCGTCCTATAGGGTTTGGGGGCCCCCAGTTCGTGAGGATTCGAATCCACCCGGAGGTGTGGCCGTTTTGCTTTCCTTGCCCCAAAAACAAGCAACCTCAAAAACCCAGAGGGTCCAAGTACCCCATATTTGAGGTCTTGGGTTTGGTTCAAGGGGATTTATCATTTACAGATTCCTCAAATCCGCAAATATCAGGTACTTGGACCCTCTGGGAAAGGGTACCTGCAGTCTCCTGACTTGAAAATTGGGTCGTTGACCCAAAAGAAAGGGGTCGCGACCCCTTTTTTTTACCCGGGTCATGGAGTGTCTAGTTAACCTCAACAAAACACCACCTTCGTGCAGGTTAGTCCTTAGTTCTGGATATAGTACCCTGATCCCAGACAAGCCATTGTAGGCAGCCCTTCGCCATTGTCCTTTTGCTTGAGGGTGGTTCCTTGGTTGCCATCCTGGCCAGCCCTCAAGTCCCACAAAAGCTGCAAAGTTTTCAAAACACTTGTTTTCACAACTCTTGATGGGATTCTTCAAATATGTACTTAAGGCAACCCCAGGTGTGCTAGCACATCCTGGATTGAAGATTGAAGATTGCAGATTCTCCGACCACTTGTCTGGAAATCTTCAAATCCATACTTATGTCAAACTGATACGCGCACCTGCTAGCACAGCCTGGATTCCCCTAAGTGTAGACTTGAAGAATCTCAGCGTTGAGGAGCCATCTTCGGTCTATGTATGCTTAGACCGTAAAGGTGGTGAGCGAACTGGACCTGTACAGCAGCAAGAGCCTGGACATAGCTGGGAACGCAATTTGGTCGGCTAGTCCCTCTCTGCAGCACAGAGCTTCCACCGAAGGTCCAGAGTACGTCCAATGCATGGTGAGAAAAGAAGGCAGCAACGGCACCACCGACGACATAGCCATCCAACTTTTCGACTTGGGACAAGTGGTGGAACCTCCAGCAGCGATGAAGTATCATGGCGTGTTCCTTACAGTCACGGGGCCGTAGTGGTGTCGCCTGTCGACCACTTCGAGGAGGTTCTGATCTACCACCAGGACAGCCCGAACTTAGGACCAGTGCGCAGTCCGAAGTCCTGCTTAGTGTGCGGACACGGCTCCCTACAGCTGCGACGTTTCCCACACCACTACCGTTAGGCTTGTAACCGCCGCAATCGGAAGTGCGAGAGGTCACCCTGCGCGCAGGGAAATAGAATCACAGGGGTAAGCATTTTGAAGGCACCTTGTTTGGGGCGGACGACAAGAGAAACTCGAGGGAAAGCCCCCCAGTTTGGGGGGTTCTCCTGTTTTGGACAACCACAGATTTTCTTTGTTCATCTTAGTGCTTTTGGTTCTAAGCAGGCAACCTTCAGAAGGTACATGGTAAAATGCCCCACCTGTTACGGGAGGGAGGCTTTTTTGGTTTGGAAGAGTTGAGGCTTTTTGAGGCTCTTTGGGGTCTCAAAATCATGTTGTTGTCAAAGGACCCCTTTGGTCAAGGGAAGAGCACTTCTGGAAGGACACTCCAGGTGGAAAACCGCACAGTTTTCCACTACAGGACAGACCTTGGTTGGCATGTCGGGACCTTCAAGGAGGGCTGGTTGGCAGGCTGCCCCCCGTATCGAGGGCATGGGGCATGTCAAGGGCTAGCAGGTGATTAGTCCCCCTTCTCTTCCTGGCGTTTTTTGTTTTTTCAAGTGGACAACCCCTAGGAGACCCTTGGACCTCGTTATTTGAGGTCTTTGGGGGTCAAAGGCGAGGGGCTCCCAGACAAACCGGCGAAAAAACAAAACATGCAGGGAGAAGACAGCAGCCAAGTCTTCTTGGTTGTTGGTTTTCAAGCGGAAAACCGCAGGAAAAATGCAAAACAATGCCGCCCGCTTCAACGTTTCGAGCTCGCCGGATGCGCAGCGCGGCCTGCAGCCGGTGCGCTGGCCGGCGCCCAAAGAGAACGAGCAGATCTTGGCGTCGCCGGGAAGCCGAAGACAAATTCGACGGATCGGATGGGAGAGGGGGAGGGATGTGCTCTGATGAGGGGGGTTACTCAGTTGTTCAGTGGCACCCTTTTTCCTTCTTTTTTTTGGTGGCTGCCCCACTACAAATGGTCTTCCTCAAAAAGGGTTCCCTTTTTTCCGGGGTCACTGAACAACTGAGGTTATGTGCAACTGATGAGGGGGATTCATGTTCAACTGATGAGGCATCCTACACGTGTTTTTTGTTATTTGTTATCCTTTTTGAACTCCAAAGACACTCGTGTTTTTTTGGGGGGGTGTGAATGTTACGTCTCCTTTCCTCTATTGTAGAAAGTGCTTGTCCGAATTCGGGATCCTGTGACTGTTTTGGGGTCCTCTATTGCGGAAAGTTTGATAGCCGGAAGAAAGCAATTGCCGGGAGCAAATCCGGGCAACAAAAAAAAGTAAAAACAACTGACCAACAACATGCGGGCCAAAAAACGTGCAAACAAATCCGGGCAACCGTTGGGAAGTCCTTTTTTGAAGTGCCCCCCAACCATACAATTGAAGATCACTGATTTACAAAGAAGCCAGGGCAAAGAGTCACACAAAGGGGGTTGCCCACAAGAGGCCCTCGTCCTCGTTAATGAAACTGTGTTGGGGTCCGCTTTGGTGTCCCAAGTTCTGCTCAAAATCCCCAAAGGGTGGTTCACCTAAAGCTCTTCCCAGCTCAAAGGGTAAAGGCCGTGAGGATCTAGGAAGTTCCTCTTGCAAGTGTTCTTGCTGTGCCGTATCCCTTTAGATTATGCTGTAAGTTATGCTATTTTGTTGAACACGCTACTGATCCCGCAACTCGACGCCGTGTTTGCAGGCTCGCGGTCCGGACAGCGCTCGCCGCTTCTATGCCTTCGCGTTAGGGCGATGTTGCGGCGCGTCCTGAAGAGCTCGAAAGTCGTTTGGTCTGACTCCTGATCAGGTCCAGCCAGGGATCATGCAAAGGAAGAAAACTGTAGCTACGCTGCTTGCGTCCCACGGTCGTCGCCTGGCCACGGCTGGGTACTCTGATGCTGAGCACTATGGCCGCCGCGTCACACAAAGGGGGTTCCCGTGATTGGTCCGTGAGCCTCTTTAATGAAACTGTTTTGAGGTCCTTTTAGTGTCCAACTCTTTTTTGGGGTAGCTGAACAAAAACGGGCTACAATAGATTTGGCAATAGTAAACCAAGTACTGGGAATTTGAGAGTAAGTCTTGGCAATACTAAAGTCAGGACTGCGACTCTGAGAGTAAGGCTTGGCAATACTAAATGTTTACTTCATTTTTGCCTTGGCAATATATACCCAAGTAAGCACTGGGAATCTGGCTTGGCAATGCTAATTTTAGTCTTGGCAATTTTGAACTAAGTACTAGCATCCAAGTCCCACCCAGACCCCCAGGACTTTCACTAAAGAGGGCCGCGGGGACTGGTTCCATTGGTGAGGGCGGGCCCATTAAAGAGGGTCCAACATGATTGTTAAAAAGCGGGTTTTCCGTTGTAAGTACCTCCTTTTCTAGAGTTGATATGATGCCTACAACAAACATGTATTTGGAGTATGGCCTTCTAGTCCTTTTAAATCCCACATCGTTTTTTAGAAGCAAAAAAGGACGGAGTACCATATGCGGCCTAAGCCACTTCACTTCTACAGCCCCCCCCAAACGTGTATGTTCATCATCTTCCATTTGCTTAAGACGATTTTTTGTTTTCCCCTGTTGGTTTAAAAGGGAATCGATTTCACTACTGCAAGTTTATATTTTTCTTTTCCAGGGGTCGAAAAGCCAAATGCAAGTTATCTCTTTGCAACAATGCGAATGCTTGATCCTAATGGCGAAGGTGTGATCAGTCCCGAAAAGACCAACTCGTCCCGGACCCATAGGTTGATGTCCACTGCGTGCACCCACTCTTTTCGGGGATAACACACCAGCACACCCCAAGTAAAATCCAGTTTTTTTTCATTTGGGTCACGATGTCATGAGACAAAATCGCACCCCCGCTTCCCCCACCATGGCTTTACACTCCCTTCAACTACTTTTCTTTCAAAAGGGGAAGCCCCAAACCGTCCACTTCCATGACGGGAAAGCTCACTTCCTGAGTTTTTATGGATTTTCACTTTGAGTTTTTTCGTTTTTTTTGGTTTGGACCATTCTAGTGATAAACAAAAAACAGTTTATACTGTTTGTGGCTTATCAACTCAAGAAGTGCGAGAGCGAGGGCAACCATCTTTAAGAAGCTAGGAACCTTTCCTGGGTGGGGGCCTGAAGCGGAAAAGGCTTTGGCGGAAAAGCAGATTGGACCCGGTCGAAAGTTTTTGATGTTCAAGTTCATGTGAGTTGTTTTGTTTTGTGAGGAGCATGCGAAGGTATGCCGCTAAGCGGCGATCTCCTTCTACCACGGCTTGAAGGGAGCCCTTTAGATTGTTTGTAATCCTCTCCGTTTTCCAATCATCGGACATTTGACAGAGCAAGACAGACAACCATGACCCTCTCTGAGATGCTTTTAAAGGGAGACTAAAGTGAATCCAACCCCGTGGAAATAAATCCCATCTATTCCATGTTCCCTTTTTATCAGGGAACCTAAGAATCCTTGTTACTACGAAATACGGGCAACGAGGCATTCACTGCTGGGGTCGGGGTTCTTTTGGGGTTGGAGTTCCTGATGTTGCATTTTCTGTGTTTGTCCACTAGTACTTGAACGGTCAGGGAATTAGCCAAAGGGTGAGCAAGCTTGGTTATACTTAATATTTCCCCTAGATTTATTTACACGCTGACGCGACACAGCCGGCCACCGGGCACCCCTTCCCGTTCTTTCATCTCCTTTCCCTCTAAGTTTCCTGGCATGTCCCTTCACTTCCTTCCACTTCACTGCCGCTTCAGCTCCCTTCATTTCCTTGAAGACTCCTTCATTCCATTCCTTTCCCTTTTCGGCCTTGCATTTTCCTGCAGCTTGGTTTCTCTCCAGCGCCCTCTTCATTTTCGTGCAATGCCTTTGACTTGCATTTCGTTCACTTCCAGTCACTCCTGTTTCCTTTCAGCCCCTTGTTTCGCATCGCCAGCATGCATAGCATCATCCGCATCATCCGGGATGATGCTGGCAATGCTGGGGGTGTTGTCCAGTATTAGGCACCCCCCAAAAATACTCGTTTTTGGACTCGTTTTTGGATGCTGCGGGGAGATGCTACAAAAATCGCCTAAACCAATCCGCAAATCCTTCGCCCCTTATAAGGGAGGGCCCAGCATAAAACGTGCGCATGGTCCGCGCATGGTCGGCGGCATGGGGCGCGCGGCCTTATACCTGAAGGTAAGCCCTAACGGGCTTTGGCCTGCGGCCCGATCACGTCCGGTGGCCGGATTTACACGCTGACGCGACACAGCCGGCCACCGGGCACCCCTCCCGTTCTTTCATCTCCTTTCCCTCTAAGTTTCCTGGCATGTCCCTTCACTTCCTTCCACTTCACTGCCGCTTCAGCTCCCTTCATTTCCTTGAAGACTCCTTCATTCGCATTCCTTTCCCTTTTCGATCTTTCATTTTCCTGCAGCTTGGTTTCTCTCCAGCGCCCTCTTCATTTTCGTGCAATGCCTTTGACTTGCATTTCGTTCACTTTCCAGTCACTCCTGTTTCCTTTCAGCCCCTTGTTTCGCATCGCCAGCATGCATAGCATCATCCGCATCATCCGGGATGATGCTGGCAATGCTGGGGGTGTTGTCCAGTATTAGGCACCCCCCAAAAATACTCGTTTTTGGACTCGTTTTTGGATGCTGCGGGGAGATGCTACAAAAACGCCTAAACCAATCCGCAAATCCTTCGCCCCTTATAAGGGAGGGCCCAGCATAAAACGTATGCGCATGTTCTGGTCATGGTCCGCGCATGGTCGGCGGCATGGGGCGCGCGGCCTTATACCTGAAGGTAAGCCCTAACGGGCTTTGGCCTGCGGCCCGATCACGTCCGGTGGCCGGATTTAAGGGCTGCCGCCCAGTGCCGCCGACCCCTGGATTTAGTTGTGGTTTTCGAGCAACCAAAAACAGTGCCCTTGGTTTGGTTTCTTTGGTTTCTTTTTGACCCAAATGGCATCTGAGGCGAGGTGCCGTTTTGACAGTGATGCGTAGTCATGATTATGATCATCGCTGCTGGAGATGCTGGGGATGCGTAGTGATGATTATCCTCATGATTGCCAGAGATGCTGCGAATGATGCGTAGTGATGATTATCATCAAGGCAGGACTCCAAATCTCAATGACACAAATGGCATCTGAACCCGAGGTGCCGTTTCGATAGTGATGCGTAGTCATGATCATCGCTAGGCACCCTTGGTAATGCAGAGGATGCTACGATGATAGTGATCATGACAGTCATCCGCAGCTTTGGTAATGCAGGGGATGCTACGATGATAGTTATCATAAGAGTCATCATCCTCATCATCTTCATGATGATTGTCATCATAGTCATCGCCTTCATCATCGTCATCATCATTGTCATCATCAATTGTCATCATCATCATTATTTTTTAGTCATCCGCAGCTTTGGTAATGCAGGGGATGCTACGATGATAGTTGTCATAAGAGTCATCATCCTTATCATCTTCATGATGATTGTCATCATAGTCATCGCCTTCATCATCGTCATCATGCTTGTCATCATCATCATCTCTCCTTCTATTCTTCTATCTTTCTTCTATATACATATCAAATGTGGCGTTAGGCATCCTTGGTAATGCAGAGAATGCTACGATGATAGTTATCATGACAGTCATCCGCAGCTTTGGTAATGCAGAGGATGCTACGATGATAGTTATCATAAGAGTCATCATCCTTATCATCTTCATGATGATTGTCATCATAGTCATCGCCTGCATCATGAGTGTCATCATCATCATCATCTGTTTCTTCTATCTTTCTTCGTTAGGCACCCTTGGTAATGCAGAGGATGCTACGATGATAGTTATCATGGCATCTCTTGGCTCCAATACATTTCAATTGCGGCGTTAGGCATCCTTGGTAATGCAGAGGATGCTACGATGATAGTTATCATGACAGTCATCCGCAGCTTTGGTAATGCAGGGGATGTTACGATGATAGTTATCATAAGAGTCATCATCCTTATCATCTTCATGATGATTGTCATCATAGTCATCGCCTTCATCATTGTCATCATGATTGTCATCATTATCATCATCTCTTTCTTCTTTCTTCTAAAACAAAGATGAGGGCTGTGATGATATATATCATCGTAGCATCCTCGGCATCATCAGTGCCGGCTAACAAGAGATGATGATGACCATGATGATAGTGATGATAAGGACGAGGACTCTGATGATAACTATCATCGTAGCATCGTCTGCATTGCCAATGGGGTCTAACGTTACTTTTGAAATGCATATAAGAATAAGAGCAAGAATGGGATGATGATGATCATCATGATGATGATGAGAAGAGCGATGACATCATAATAAGGATGATCATGATGATGATTATGATGATAACTATCATCGTAACACCCTTTGCATCACCAGTGCTGCCTGATAAGAGATGGTGATGACCGTGATGATACTGATGACAAGGATGAGGACTGTGATGATAACTATCATCGTAGCATCCTCGGCATCACCAGTGCCGGCTACTAAGAGACGATGATGACCGTGATGATTACAATGACAAAGATGAGGGCTGTGATGATACATATCATCGTAGCATCCTCGGCATCATCAGTGCCGGCTAACAAGAGATGATGATGACCATGATGATAGTGATGATAAGGATGAGGACTGTGATGATAACTATCATCGTGGCATCCTCTGCATTGCCAATGGGGCCTAACGTTACTTTTGAAATGCATATATAAGAATAAGAATAAGAATGTGATGATGATGATCATCATGATGATGATGAGAAGAGCGATGACATCACAATAAGGATGACCATGATGATGATTATGATGACAACTATCATCATAACACCCTTTGCATCACCAGTGCTGCCTAATAAGAGATGATGATGACATCCTCGGCATCACCAGTGCCGGCTAATAAGAGATGATGATGTTGAAGGATATAGAAATGATGATGATGATGATGTTGACGATAAGAATGATGAAGGATCATATGGATGATGATGATGATGATGATGGGCATCCGTATGATGCCAGTAGTCATATGCTTGCCTCAAAGATTAATCCATGCGCTTGTACTGCAACCAACCTTTCCGTGCGCCTCCCCCTTTGAGGAGAGGGGGTCGGCGGATAACTGCTATGGATGGACGAAAACCATTGCGCACCACCTAAGAATGCCTGGAATACCAATAAACAATGGTTTCAATCGTGAAACTCATTTCCAGGTGCGAAGAGTTTTTACACCCATCGGCTAATTCTGACTACCTCGAGTCTCCTTTCTGACCCCTAGAAAATGGAAGGAGTCATGACCCGAATCTGTCTTTTGGGCAGTCTGACCCACCATTTTTCAGGGTCAGAAGGAGAATCTAGGTATACCTTTTGGGAGGAAGAACTTGGGACTTTTTTGGGCCATAGGTTTAAAAAATGGGGTCATTGCCCAAAAGAAAGATTCGGGTCAAATGGGGCCTTTTTCTAGTTGTCACAAGGAGACTCTAGTTTTTGTTTTTTTCCTTTCCTCTTTAAAAGGGGAACTCTATATATATATACATCAACTCTAGGTAGTTTTGGCTCACCCCTGTGCCAAGTCCCAGATCTAAGTAGACCCCACTGTTTGGGTCCAGGCCGGAAATCCAGCGTGCTGAGCGGCCTGCGCCCAAAGGCGGGACGACACGCGCTTTGGAAATCGTAGGAGCTTGTTGGCTGTGTGTGTGTATGTATTGCTATATATACAAGGCTATGCATATGTGGGGGCCGTCCGTAACTTATTAAAAGCGGAAACTGGTTGAACCGCACCGGGCAAAGATGAAGGCTCCAGAATGTTTGGTCCATTGGAGCCCGGGACGATCCCAAAAGGAACCCAACTGCTTTTTATTTGGTGCATTTTGCCAAAGGATGTTAGGACTTTAAGTTTTTGCCAACTAATGGGTTTTCCGAATTAAACCACAAGAAGTTAAACTTTTGGCAGGGGAGCAGAAAGCAACCGAGTATATACAAGGCTATGCATATGTATCGATATGCAGATGTGTATAGATATATACAACACACATTCATATATACAAATATTTACCTTGGATCGCCGGGATTGCACGCATTCGGAAATTATGACATTGGGGGCATCTCCCCAAACCCACTTCCGGCCTGAAGGAAGCGCGGTGAAATGTCGAGGACCAGGCACCAATGGTCCAGGGAGTTTTGCGGGACGCAAGTAAACCCAAAGTTTGCTAGCAGAATGAGGGAAGGAGCCCTATAACCATCCCCTCTTGAATCCCCTCTGGTTTCCTTGAAGGGAATCCCCATCACCGGTTCATTCCCAACACCCGGCAAGCTCATTCCCACCCTACCTAGCGCGCGCGCCGGCAAGCAAAGGCTCCAGAAGATTTGGCCCACCGGAGTCCCGGCTTGTTGCTGGCTCTTGGGACCCATAGCCACGTGCTCAAAACCCGGGTAGATGAAGCTTAAGGGGCACTTCCAGACGGAAAGAGTTGCGGAATTCCGCCTCTCTACTTCTTTACATGGTTTTGGGTTCACGATTTTCGTACCAGGTGTTGATTAGGACTTTAACTTTTTGCCAACTAGTTTTCCGTTAAACCACTAAAAGTTAGTGACTTCTAGCAGGGGAGCAGAAAGTAACCAAGCTTTGCTGTTTCTTAGGACCTTGGGACCCATGTGATGCGTCCAAAGGACGCAGTTTCCCATGCGAAGCAGGCCCCACACCTCACAGCTCAGGTGAGGCGAGGCCGGCGCAAGCAAAGGCGTCGCACGGGTGCCGAGGAAGCGGATTTTTTGCACCCGGTCTCACCGATATGATACTAGGTCCCCCAGCTAGGTGCCCTTTTACCATTTTTTTGGGGAGGGTGCCCGTTTACTAAAGTAGACTACAGACAAAATGATACCCTTATTCTAATCTCTCTACTGGAGAACCTAGGATAGCTGGTGGATGGAAGGGGCCAAGGAGCTGGGGGTATCCAAATTTGCTTTCAAACAGGGAGCATTCGGGAGCTACCAGGAGTTCTGTACGAACATGGAAGGTGCAAGTCCTCTTTTCAACTTGTTTTCTGGAGGGTGTGGCTTCTTTAACAGCAACCAAACAAGCCCGCCCTATTCCCACTAAAAAAGGGATGCCCCAAAGTTATGGAAGCCTGGGCAGTTGGAGGGTCTAGGTAGCGCTGGTTGAAGCCTATCGAAGGGAGAAGAGAAGGCAGTGTCTCCGAACTCAAAGCCCCTTTGGACTTCGGACCAATCACTCGGAAGTGAGTCTAGGCCCTCCAGTGCCGATTGCCGGTTCCCCTACTAAAGTAGACAAAGCAGAGAACAAAAGCTGGCACCAACTTATTCTCTCCTCTCAAATCTGCACCTAGTTGTGGGTTTGAGTCTCCCGGATCTCGCCGGTTTCGAAACCGGCTGCCTCTCCGACCAAGGCCGCCCAAGAGCTTGGCACGGGCCTCGGAGCCTCGGAGCACGCCTCAGAGATCCTCAGACCGACGAAAGCCACGCCTTGTGGGGGGGAAGCCAAGGCCATGAAAGCGAATGACCGTTGAATCTGGAGATACCAATAACTTACCAACTTTTCACAAAACACACCACGTTTCACCAAACTTTTTGGGGGTGACATGGGCGAAAAGTGTCTGTAAAAGATGAGAACTTCCCCCAGGGCTTGGAGTTTTAAGGGGTAAGATAAACAATGGTTTCAATCGTGAAACTCATTTCCTGGTGCGAAGAGTTTTTACACCCATCGGCTAATTCTGACTACCTCGAGTCTCCTTTCTGACCCCTAGAAAATGGAAGGAGTCATGACCCGAATCTGTCTTTTGGGCAGTCTGACCCACCATTTTTGTTTAAGGGTCAGAATGTGACTCAAATCGGTAAGTCATCTGTTGCAATTCAAGTCCGGTTCAGGCGTCTCTCGCATCCGCACTTCTTTTCATCCGAAGCCTCAAGACCTATGTGCGGGATCAAACCCAAAAGGCACCGGCCTAAAGCTTGAGGCTGAGCATGGACATAGCAAATGCATTCCAACCGGCCAAGGTCAAAGATGTCATCGTGCAAAGTGGACAAGCGCCATTCCATATTCATCAGCCCTTTGTGAGACATTCCAAATTCCTTCAGCCCTTTGCATAACTCAGTTGCCCAAGGAGAATCGACCTTTTGCACTTTTGGTTTCTCCTTTTTGGTCTAGTTTTAGCCATGACCCCAAAAGGTGATCTTTTTTTTTCTGGGTCCTTTGGGCAAGTGAGATAAATCTTCCTAAGAGGGTGGGAAAAGCACAAATATCGATGGCAAGATGGTTCATGCCCAGAGTCTAAAGCACCTCCGGCAATTGGCTTGCCACTCCTGGTAGGACCCAAATGCGACCCTGGACCACATGGAGGGCTCCTTCTGACCCGGTGACCCGAATCTTTCTTTTGGGACATGACCAACCATTTGTTTAAGGGTCAGAACAAGAAGCGCAAGGGTTTAGGCTAGCGCTCAAGGCCTCCGAGCCGCACATGCATGAGAGTCTGGGTATATATTGTCGGTGCACAGTGGGCCAAGTTATGGAACGGAAGAGAGCCTCCTGTCAGGCAAACCCTTAATTGAACCCGAAGAGGGTTAATGGGAAACATCTTGAGGGTTAATGGGAAACAGCCCTTGATTACTTGAAGCTCACTTCCTGAGTTCGTGGACTTTTCAACTGTTTGGAAGATCCTTTTAGTGGTAACTAGCCAGTGTGGTTTCTTTTTTTGGCCATCCACTTCGGGAAGAGAGTAAACCACCAATCCAAGCCACCAACCTACCCCCAACCTACCCCCAACCTACCCCCAAGCTACCCCCAACCTACTCCCAACTTAGCCCCCTCCTACCCCGAACCCACCCCCAACCTTACCCAGCCCCGAACGAACGTACCATAGGGGGAAGCCGACCCCGCCAAAGTCACCAGAAACCCAACCAACGGGTCGCAACCGCGGCTTCGCGCCCTTCCCCGGCCTGAGGCGGGCTGGGACTTGTGGCCCACAGAGGTCTCGGAGCAGCTGCAGGTGCTGGAGACCAACGAGAAGACCCGCGGCCGGTTTTATCTCTTTTTGTTTTGTTTTTTTCTGTGTGTGTGTTGTTCTTTCTTTTTTATCGGTCTTTTTTTTGGCGGGGGGATTTGGACCCTCAAAGTAACTAGACTCTCCTTCTGACCCTTGAAAAATGGTTGGTCATTGCCCAAAAGAAAGGGGTCATGACCCCTTTTTTCTAGGGGTCTAGGTACACATAAAGAGAACGGATTTGACCCCCAGTTGGGGCAATATCAGATTTTTGAAGGGTGCATAGCATGGGTTTTTACCCCGGAAGTTTGGGGCAATATCCTATTTTTCAGGGTAGTTTGAGCATCCAGGTTGCAAAGTTTTTTTTTTTTTTTTTTTTTTTTTTTTTGTTTCCGGGGCGGGGGGGGCTTTGTTCTTTTTTCGTTTCGATTGTTAGGGGACTGGGTCTACTCATTTGTCCGACCCCCGACAAATCCGTTTTTGTGGGTGGGACCCCAACTCTATGAGTCAAAAAACGGGTTAAGTTCGTGTTGGTTTCGAGCGGAGGTGCGCCTGAACATGTGTCTTTCCTTCTGGTCAACTTGGACCGTTTGAACAAGGTACTGCAAATCCTTGGGTCGGGCTCAGTGCTTGCAGGCAAAGCACCATACTACCTAGAGTCTCCATGACCCCTAGTAGCCTAGAAAAAGGGGTCACGACCCCTTAATTTTGGGCAATGACCCCTTTTTTTACGGGTCATGGAGAGTCTAGGCAGGTACTTTTGCCGTTTTACCTCTAGCTGCACGATGGTTCCCCTGCATGGTTACGGTGGATGGATGAAGTCCTGCACCACCGAAGAATCCTTGGAATGGTGATTCCCCTGTACAGGCCAACAAACACTTGTTTCTCAAAGTTTCAATGTGGTGTTCCATCCACAGTACGACAATGGGGGTGCCATGCACACTTAGAGTATATGTTGCATCCAAGAACCTTAGTCATTCGGGGGAGGAGGGGGAGAGGGGGTCTAATTTTTCGCAGATGCCCCAAAAAAACACGTTATATCCTAAAGCAAGGAGGTTGCCAAATAGACTCGAAGGGTCCATCACATGGGCAGGGAGGGAAAACGCCCACAGGGTGTTCTCAACTCATCATGACTGGTCTTTGGGTGGACCTGGCAGAAACAAGGACCTTCAGGGAAACCAACTAGCAGGGATACAGGGGGAACCAGTGGGATACGGGAGGATTCCCCCGTTTGATGCACCTTGACGAAGTTTGATATGGGAAATGGCGCCAAGGGAATCCCCCCATATCCCCGCTCCCTCCGTATCCCCGCTTGTTCGTTTGTCTCACTTTTGGAAACACGTCCGGCTTTTCAAGAAACCACGAGGTGCTCGGCCGTTTGTTTGTGGGTTGCTTCCAGTGGCCTTGAGTCAAACCGGGGGAATCCGGTTCTCCCGCTTGGGGGTTGGACTTTGGACAATTCGCGGGTCAACTCTTGGGACTCGTTGCCTTGACTGAATTGATGTGGCTGGCGCGTCTTTTTTGAGGTTCCCAAAATGGTTGTTTTCCTTGTGGCTTCCCTTGAACACCAACCAAACAGGTGTAATTACCCTCAAAGACAACCCCATGTAAGCCTTTCGAATTTTCGCCCGCAACAAGCCGCCGGCCAATGTTTGTTTCTGGTCCAAACAATCCCCCTACGGGTCCAATGCGGGAAAAACGCGGAAACGTCCTAGGTGAGTTGACCGGATCTAGGTTTTCACCGCAACCAGAATCACTTTGTCTGTTCCAATGGAGTTTAGCATCCTGGGGTGGATGTTTTTGGGTGTGTTTTCCGACGTGCAGATTAGCCTGGAATCTACACCACGTCATGTCTTGTTTTTGTTCAGGGACTCTCCCTGTTGGAATCCACAGGGTTCCATGTTAGTCAGGGGAACATAATGTGTGGGGTGACAGTCTATAGTGGTTGCATTAATTTCACCCAGTCACAAGGTTTCCTTTGGTTGTATTGATTTAAACCCAGTTGCAAAGGTTCCCTTAGTTCCTTCTCGATATTTCATGCACCCACCGAATGGTTGCGATGGTTGGCGAAATGGTGTGTCACAAAGTTAGCGACGAGTTCCTCTTGGATTTTATGTAGCCCAAAGACTCCCGACTACTGTTCGGGCCTTCAATAAAAGTATTGTTGAGGTTTGGGGTGTGGTGTCCCTAAGCGTCTGGGAAGCACCATTCAAGAGGAAGAAACCAATTTCAGGTTGGGCTGTTCTATCTTTGCATAGGGGTTGTAACCCAGGGCAGAGTCATAGAGTCAACAAGCCGCAGCCAGAACTCTTTTTTTCTTTTCCGAAGACACCCATCACCCAACCTTTTCACACCGCTCAAGGCTTGTCTCAGAACTGGGGAATCCCCCCCAAAAATGGTTGGTTCCCCTTTCCTTTGGTATCCTTTAGCTTGTTGTTGCTCAGGAAAGAAATGGAATGACCCTTATAAACCATCCAACTGGTGGTTGTTGTTGTTTTCTTGAAGGACCAACGGCTGAAATGGTTCGTTTCCACGTTCCTATCGCACCAGCAAACGAACACCACCCCCAAAAAAAAGGTCCAGAGAGCACAAAACTGGGCTTCCTTCCGGTTTCCATCTAGGTATCCCATAGCTTGCTGGGTCTCACTAGGAATGACCTTCCAGGTGTTGGCTGAATGAACCGGATCCGGGGATTCCATACAAAACCATATGACGTAGATATTGTTTGGGTTTCCATGTCTCATTCCCCTCAGGAACTCTCCTTCAAAACCAGAACAAGATTTGACCCCCCAGCCCCAGTGTCCCTAGGTCGGACCCTCCCCAGGGTCCAGCGTTAACGAAGACGAGATCCGGATCCATCCGCCCTCCGGACCCCCAACTTGACAAGCGGATCCATCTATTCGGCTCGGGGGAAACTCCAAAACTTGCAACGTCCCCTTAGCTACCTGGACTCTCCATGATTCTTAAAAAAATGGTTGGTCATTGCCTAAATTTTTTTGGGGTCAAATGGGCCCTTTTTCTAGGGGTCATGGAGACTCTAGGTACACCCTGCTATACCCTAGCCGAGAAAACCGCAATGGGCCGTTGAGCTTCAGCGTCTGAGTCAATTCGCGATCGATCGAGGACCGCGGTGGTGCTGCAGAACGGCTTCGTGCAGCTCAGCGGCCACGTGGACGCGGACCCTTCCAGTTGCTGAAATGAATGTGTGTTTTACTTTCCCTTGGTTTTAAAGTTGGAATCTATCACTACTGGAAATGTCTACATATATAAGTATTTATTCCGGGGGTTTGAACCAAATATCACTACTGGATTCCGTTTTTTTTTGTTTTTGTTTTCCTTGCAGGGGTCGAAAAACCAACTGGAAGGACCTCCAGCAGCGGATCATCGACGACGTGCGCAACCTCGGGGTCTCCCCCCACGGCCGGAGCCTCGAGCGAGAGATCGAGATCGGTTCCGCCTCCGAGTGGCCGAGCGAAGCGGGGAAGTCTGGAAGGGTTCGGCCCGGAGACCAAACGAGGAACTCCGAGATATTTGGCTGTGGCTCACAAAAGTGGTACCGAAATGGCTTGCCCTGGTAAGTGGAAACATGGACCAAAACCTCTGTAATTAGCCCCTGTTTAATTTTGAGCTACACCCATTTTGGGGCTGAACACATGGAGTGTGCAGCTGCCAGTTGATTTTTTTTCCGAATCCCCTTTGATTTGTGTTCTTTTGGTATGGGGAAGGGTTAAAGCCTTTGACACGCGACCAACCAAAAAAAGGATGCCCTTTTTTTCACGTGGCCACTGGGCATCTGAGTTGGGGTTGCCCAAAAAAGGGGTCATGGCAACTGTCCAATGTTTGATCTGGGCCACAATCTCAGGAGACTCTAGGTATCCAGTTTCAGTTGACTTTTGGCTAAACTGCTGGGGATGAACTGGGGCTACGCATACTCAGTTAAGTTCCGCACCATCTGAGTTCCCACCTTTTCCCAACCATGGGCGAAACCGGGCACTCTTTGTTTGGACTCGGATCATATATGCATTTCAAGCGTACGACCCTGAGACCTTTTGTTTTGCTGGAGGGGTTGTTGTTGCAATTCGCCGAGATTGATGAGATTTAATTCAAGCCTACTAAGTCAGGAGAGATGTTGCCCCCTTCCCCCAATTGCTCTTGCATCTTTCCTTGTATAATAAAGCGAGGAGCGGTACTTGGACCTCTGTTCGGGCAAGATAGCAAGTTTGTTGGAAAGCTAGATTACAGCCCATGTATAAGTCCCCCATTCATTGGGGTTGGTTATTAGACGGTTGTATCATAAAGTAGCTAACCACTTACTGGCTGGGCCGAACATTCAAGTACCATGCAAGCTTCAGCGTCGCCAAGGCTTCTCCTCCGAGGACTTTGATGGAATCAAGGTCTCCCAGGGTGTACAGAGGAGCTACACCGCAATTCGCCCAAACGATTCGCCTCGCCGGTAACGAGGCAGACACCATCTTACAGGTCTACCTAGAGTCTCCGCGACCCCCAGAAAAAGGGGTCATGACCCGAATCTTTCTTTTGGGCAATGACCCCATTTTAAGGTCATGGAGAGTCTAGGTATGTTTCCCTAGTGTTGTTTTTAAACATCACCCAAGGTGGGCCCAGGTGGGCCTAGCTAGGTGAGTTTCCTTGGGATTCGGTCAACCCTGTACTTGGTTATGAGCCACCAAAGTCATTGCTGTAAGTCTTACTCGCCGCTCACTAAGTATCATGTCCCTTCAAGTATGTGCTTGGGAGCTCCCATACTGATTGGGGGGGGCGCAAGCAACCTACCTGGAGTCTCCATGACCCTTAAAAAATGGGGTCATTGCCCAAAATAATGAGGTCATTGACCCATTTTTCAAGGGTCATGGAGAGTCTAGGTACTCCTAACTTGGAGCCTCGAGTGTGGAGTTTCCCATTTGCCCTCCACAAGAACCACAAGTTCAGATCCCAATACCACCAAATGAGTCAGAATCAACACCGATCGGTACAAAATGGTCCAAACCCCGAACCATGCTTCAAGAATCACAGGTTCAATTCCTTCCATTTGCTTAAGAATAGATTTTCCCCTTCTCGGGTCTCGATTGTGTTGGCCCTCAAAGCTGGTTGTTTTCAAGGGCCCCTGAGGAATTGGTCGGGCATTGGGGTCATGACCCTTAGGGTTGTTGGTTTTAAGAGGCATTCATCACTATTGGACATCTTATTTTGTTATTTTTGTTTCCTGGGGTCGAAAAGCCAAATGGAAGAATCCCCCAACCACCAGCCTCCGAGCCACCCTTTTGGGGGGGTTACCTGAAATGCTGGCAGGATGTACCTGGGACTTCGCTGGAACTCCTCGGGGAGGAAATGGGAGCAGAGCAAAGTGGACCAGTTCGTGGCTGCGCTGCCCAAGTTCTTGGCAGATATGTACAGCCACTCGGGCCTACGATCTATGGCGTTTGCAGAAGATACCTGGAGTTTCCTTCTGACCCTTGAACAATTGCACTGCTTTCTTTGCCTTCTTTGCCTTGTTTTCGTTGGATTCTACTTTTCTGCACCCGTTGCGCCTTTGTTTGCCGCCTTCTCCATGTTTGCCTTTCACCAGCAAGAAGAAGCCTCCTTTTCGGCTGGCTTACTTGCTCAGGGGCGCTCTTTTCTATTCAATTCAAGCCGAAGCTGTCACGTTGCGACATTGGGGAAGCATCATTCATTCCAGGGATTCATTGGTGGTACGAAATAAATCTCGCAACCATCCACAGTATCTTGGTGGCTCCCAGCCATCCCCTTAGCTTTTCAGCCTTTCAGTGTTTAGTGGGCAGCCCAGATATCACTCCAGTTTTCCAGCGCCTTCTTCTACTTTAAGGGATGTCCCTACACCAACCGCCCAATCCAGAGGCGCCAACCCTTGTGGCAAATCCGTGAATCGGATTGGCGCCAAAACGAACATCCACCGGAATGTTGCAGACATGAGTGCCTGGTGACATGTATCCCCGGCAAATTGAAACCATCAAATAATGGGGCCGAAACTACCCACCATTGTTTTCTTGAAGTTTCATCATCCAGGTCAGGTTGCCATTCTCTTACTGAGGGGTTGAACCCTAGGAAAGCAATAGTTGGCGTGTTTGTTGCTTCAACCCGGGATTTCTGTTCTTGGCATGATTGTCGCTTTGGGTTCTTGTACAGGCTGTCAAAACCATCATTTGTTTGTTCACATACTCATGTGGCTGGACGAAATCCATTTCTCACCACCGAAGAAACCCTGGTTTCTGATGATTCCCCTGTACATGCGAACAAACCTTCTGGTTTCAACCATGGGTTCGTTTGGTGCGAGAAGCGGATTTCGCACCATCCACATTAGGGCTTTGGAACAACAAAATCTGGGTTCCACCAACTCCAGGAGTCTCCGCGGTGTCCAGTTTGGGCATGGGTCAAACTTAAACAACCATTCAACCGCAGGTTTTAGTCTACGCTTTTCGTTTTTCGCTTGCCAGGGTTTCATTTCTGGTTCCTATTTTTGACCCACTGCCAGTTTGAGTCAAAACCCCGCAAATCCCATTGAATTCTGCCAGCTTGTGATTTTGTTGGAGAAGGTCTGTACTGCAAAATCAACCAATCCAAAGGTCTGGACAAACGGGTTAAAGGGTCTTGAACTGGTCTTCGATGGAACTTCAACTTCATTGAGAGCGCCAAAGCCGCAATGGCAGGTGGAGTTGAACACTGAAAGCCAAACAGACATCAGTATCACATCGAATAGTTGTTTTGGTGTGAAGTTGTATTCAGCTGTTCGTGCGAACATAGAGCATGTCTGTGTTTTCGGGTGAACCAACACCAAACTAGACGTAGACAGTAGTGCCGGAAGCTAGCAACGGGCGACTCAGGCTTGGTTGTGGGAGCCTGGGTTTCAGGGCCAAACGTTCGTAGGTAGACAGTGATACAAATCTTGCATGACCCAACCAAACTCGGACAAACTGAGCAGCAATGTTAGTAAAGGGGTGCGCGTCAAATCAGAGCGATGGCTAGGAACGGATTTAAAAGTGATGTAATGTTTCATCCATATCCCCACCCCCTTCAAAATGGAATTGGGGGAGGGGGGTGACCCCTGGAATTCCATTTAGGGTTCCTTTTTCCCTTGTGGGGAAGACTGAATAAATGGAATTGTGGGACCCCCCACCCCCCCTCCCCCTTAAGGTAGGGGGGATTCATCCATCCACCGTACTATCTGGACAACTTATTTATCTATGCCCAGACCATCCAAGAAACCGGTAAAACCACTGACCCGACACCCACCCAAAACAGGATTGGTTCCTGAATTCCCCTTTTAAAGGAAAACCCAAGAACAACTAGAGTCTCCATGACCCCTAGCAAAAGGAGTCATGACCCGTTAGCTTTGGGCAATGACCCCATTTTGTAAGGGCCATGGAGAGTCTAGGTAGACCCAGGTGATGCTGTCAAGAGCGCCAACCGAGAGATGAGCAGCGGCCAGAACAAGCGCCGGAAGCTAACGCCCTTTCCGGAGGGACAAGCCAGCGTTGCAGTGGTGGACGCCCGGCGTTTCACTTTTATCAATTTTCCTCGGAGTAAAAGCCCCTACTCACAGCTTCCACATCTCACTTCCCTAACCCAGAGGGTTCAAGCACCTTCTCTGGAGGTACTTAGACCCCTTTTTACCCCCCAAAAGCCATCCTCATGGGGTGGTTAAGGGTCTCAATAGTTTGTGGGCCCTCAAAACTGGTTGTTTGCAATGTTTTCACCGGGCTCATTGGAGGAATCGGCCGGGGTTCGAACCATCGGTTCGGGTCCTGCGGTGGCAAATGAAATTTGGATTTCAGTTGGCCCATCCACTCAAGTGAGACATTCCCACTAGAGAGAACCCCAAGGTGTGTTTTTTACCGGGAGTTCTAAAAAAAGAGGGGTGAACCCCATTTTTTCGGTAGACCACGCAGTTTTCAGCTTCTACAGGTAGGTAGGTTCACAATGGATGGTGTCCCTTGGCTACCTGCAATGGCACTGGGATGACCAACCACTTTTAAGATCGAACAATAAATTACTCACTTCCTGAGTTGATGAACTTAAAACTTTTTGGAAAGACCATTTTAGTGGTAAATAAAAAGTTCGGACTTTTTTTTGGCCATCCACTCAGCAAGTGAGATTAGGTAGGTTTACAATAATGGATGGGTTCCCTTGGTCTTCTGATGTCTCCTGCTATCACGCGGCAACCGGAAGTACTGGCACGACCAACCATTCTTTAAGCGTTAGAAAAAGACTTCAGGTAGGTTTACCATGGATGGATTTGCTTGGTTACCTGCTGTCACGGCAACCGGAGGCACTGAGATGACCAACCATGTTTTAAGCGATAGAAAAAGACTTCAGGATCTTCAGGTAGGTTTGCCATGGATGGCTGCTATACCGGCAACTGGAAGCACTGGGATGACCGACCACATGTAAGAGATTGAACAAGAAATCAGGTAGTTTGAGAATGAGTGGTTTTCCTTGTTTTTTTTCCTAGAACGGCAACCGGAACCACTGGGATGACCAACCATGTTTAAGCGATAGAAAAGGACTTCAGGTAGGTTTACAATGGATGGTTTCTTTTGGTTGCCCTGCTATACCGGTATCCGGAAGCACTGGGATGACTAGACACTTTTAAGCGTTAGAAAAAGACTTCAGGTAGGATTTACAATGGATGGTTGCTCTTGGTAAATGGCTGGCAATTCTGGTTACAAACCCACCAAAGCCATTGTTGTAAGTCCCGTAAAGGCTAACCATTTAGCGATTCGTACCAGCCATTTCGGTACGTATGCAAGCCTATAAGTCCTAGCGGCGCTTCCAGTTTCTCTATGTAGTAGGAGCCCAGTTTTTTTAAGGTTATAGGTGATGAAATACGCCTCTAAGCTTTACGACTAAGGTAAGGGTGTATGACCATACCCACAGATGCGGAGCTTTCTCACGTCTTTGTCACGTCTCAGGAATTTCGTCACGTCTCAGGAATTTCTGCCGATCACCTCGACCGTCCAGCTGCATCAAGAGAAGACAGACACCTGCCAGCACATGGACGGACCACCTGGATGGCTGATTTCACGCAACTGGGTCCCCTTTTTTGCGGGAGGGTTCCCCTACTAAAATAGACTACAGAAAAAAGTTGGTACCCTTATTCTAAGCTCTCTACTGGAGGACCTAGTCAACCAAGAGCCAAAGTGAGGTCTCAACATATCCCCACGTGGTGTCCATGTCCAATTTGAGGTTTAAGCATCCGCTTTTTGCCAAGTGCCACCTTAGGAGATTTGCTTTCGAAGCTACCTGAGGATTTACGCAGTTTGGGGTACGGCGGTGCTTCCTGTTGCCTCGCCATTTACCACGGAAACCCATTTTGGGGTTACCCTATTTTTGACCACCACAGCCACATAGTGAGTGTCCTTTTTTGTTTTTTTTCGCGGAGAAACGGGGGGGAAATCCCTGGGATTGATTTCGCACCACGAAATGAAACCATGGCTGAAACCTTTGTTGGTTGGTATTTACAGGGGAATTATCATTCCAGGGCTTCTTAGGTGGTGCAGGATTTCGTCCGTCCACAGTGGGTGTCCTTTTGATAGATTTAGTTTGGTTAGACAGATGTCACGGGTTTAGATAGGGTTTTGTGAACCACACACACCATTTCCATCTATTTTCCCAAAGGACACAATCGCCTTTGTTTACCTATGGATTCTCATCATCTAAATTGGGTTAACCATTCTTTAGATGGCGGTTGAAGCTTAATTTGGGTAATTGCCCCCCCCCCCCAAAGATGAATGAAGAAGGAAAAAAAAGCCAACAACAAAAATGCAACAACAGAACCTTAGGGTAATTTAACCCTGCCAGTTGCTTATTTTTCACGTGGGGAGACAAGGGCATTTCCCAAGGCGCACGCGATGAGCGGTTCATTCGATTCAGGAGACTCGGGAAGCGCTGGAGGCTGGATACCCCCTCATGGGCCTCTATCTGGGTGCTAGCTGTGAGCTGGCCTACAGCAGCTGGCCCGCACCGAGCCTGACGCACTGACTTCTTCCAATTGCTGAAATGAACATGTGGTTACATATATACCAGCTCTCCCAGTAGTGCCCTTTTACCCTTTTTTGGGGGAGGTTCCCCTACTAAAATAGACTACAGAAAAAAGGGTATTTTCTAAGCTCTCTACTGGAGGACCTAGTATATTTTCCCTGATTGGTTTTCAAGGGAGTTGATTTCGCTACTGGAAACTTGTTCTTATTTCTTCCAGGGGACCAAAAAATACACACAAATCAGCCATGGGCATGTCCAGCTGATGGAAGGGAGGGGGCCTTTCAGTACCGATTTCTGTAAGGATATGGGGCACCCGGGTTCGTAGTTTATGAGTTGCTCGGTATTGTGGCTGGGGGCCGGGGTCTTGAAGTGTTTTGGCAAGCCGCCAAATTTTTTTGGGGGGGCTTGGGGGCTTTTCCCCATGTATGCTTGGTGACTGAGGGTCTTTTCCTCATGTATGTTTTTCCCCATGTATGCTTTTCCCCATGTGAAGCCAAAAGGGCAAGCCAACAAACGTTACGGTTTCAGCCATGGTTTCAAATGGTGCGATTTCTGGATTTTGTCCACAGGGCAGAGTCCAACACAAGGAGCCTTTCAGGCAGGTGTTTGCTGGGAATGGCCGATGGAGAACCCGGATTCGTCGGCCCGGATTTTTATCGGGGGATTTGTGGTCTCGAGACATTTTTGGGCGTGAATGATCCCACAGGTCCCCAAGCAAAACTGGGCTTTTGGCTGTATTTGGCTGGGTCAAAAATATGTACCCAAAATGGAACCCTGGTACATGGAAGCATGGAAGCATGAATCTGTGGTCCCCTGGTGGATTGATTTGGAGCCATACCCATTTGGGTTTCTGCTTCTAAAACCACCAAAACAGGGGTAGCCTCAAAAAAGGACACAGCCATTAGAAGCATGGCAACCCTTGGACCCAACTCAGACGATGCGAAGCTTTCCGTGCTTCGATGGTTTTAATCCCAGGGCAAGGGTAGAGCACAATGTGGGGATGGGTCCCTAGACTCTCCATGACCCTTTAAAAATGGGTCAATGACCCCATTATTTTGGGTAATGACCAACCAGTTTTTAAGGGTCAGAAGGAGACTCCAGGTCAAAATTCAATCAAGCACCAGGATATGGACCGCAGGTTTTGGTCCATGTTTCCACTTACCGATCGGGTTCCATTTGGGGTACCAATTTTTCACCAGCCATGTAGTGTTGCTTTTGTTGGATCGCCTAGGCACTAGCTCTTGTGCCAGCGTCTTTGAGCAAGGTTAGGTTGGCAAACCTCTGAATGCTGCAGCTTTTGGATTCATTGGAAGCTTCACCCACCCAAAGAGGTGGAAATTCCTTCGATTTTGCTCGCCAGCCGCCGGGACCCCAGGACCCAACCACTTCCTCTTTTTTTTTGTTCCGGACTCTCAACCAAACTTGAAGGGTTCCCTGAAAAAGTCGACCACATGAAACCCGGAGCAGACAAACCCCTCCTGCCAAAAAATCGCGGCTACGGGGTCCAAAATTCTCGCAGATATGAGAGCCCAAGGGTTTGAATAGAACAAGCCCCGGGTTTAGGTCCCCAAAGGAAACAACTGTGGACGGAATCCATGCAACGCACCACCCAAGAATCCCTGGGAATGCTTCGATTTTTCGTAAATAAGAAACGGAATGGCTAGGGGCAGGAAGAAATGAGAACAGGGTTTTTCCCTCCCATGGAAGCTGAGGCACAGAGGGGCCCAGCGGAACCTCCAAGCCCAAGGCCAGAATTGGCTGCTCTCAGGTGGTGACTTTTGGGACTCTTAGTGCGGAGGGGACTTTCATGGACATCTGTGGGTGGAGGGCACCCTTTTGGCGGGTAATTACCCTTTTGGGGTTGCTTCTAAAGGGAGATCGAAGGGGGCAACCATTTTTTTTTAGAGGGTTCCCCTACTGTGGATGCTGACGCGAACTCCGGAAAAATCGCACCGAAATCAGAATCCTGGAGTATGATTCCGTTCCCCAACCGAAATACAAACATTTCGTGGTGCGATTTCTGGATCTCGCCTTTCAGTATCATTAGATGGTCCAGGACGTCGGGTGCACCCGAAGAATTCGAGCATGGGCTCCGTGAACAATGCCTAGAGTCTTCGTGACCCCTAGAAAAAGGGGTCATGACCCCTTTCTTTTGGGCAATGACCCATTTTTGAAAGGTCATGGAGACTCCAGGTGGTGATGTGAACCCAATCCCATGCTTTTCCTCTCGGTTTCAATCCCAGGAACTTACCGTACTGGTCGTTCCCATACTGATTTGGAGGTGTTTTGCGAAGCAGGGAAAATGCCACCAAACGGGGCTCAACCAGGAAATCATCCCGCGCATCGGTTGCCTGAAGGCACCCCCAGTGGTTTTGCCTTTGCAAACTCCCAGAAGGCTGTCTACCTAAACTCTCCATGACCCGTTAAGAATGGGGTCATTGCCCAAAATAAAGGGGTCATGACCCCTTTTTCTTAGGGTCATGGAGAGTCTAGGTACGTGGGTTGGTTCTTGAAGGGATCCCTATTGGCCAGTGGGATCCCAGGCGTTTCGCCACGCTTTGGCATATTTTTGGTGCCCTTCAATGAAGGGCGCTTGACGTGTTTTTGAATCGAGGGCGCTTAAGGCAGTGTCGGTGCCCTAAGTGACCCTTTGATTCGTTTGCTAAGTGCCCTGTTTGGCTTGATAGGAGTTGGGATCATGTTGAACTCGAACAGCTACCCGTGTCGAAGTGTGACAACTGCCACAGTTGATTGGGGCCGGCACGGAGTGGCCCGAACATGGCGTTTTGAGTGTCAAAGCGTGTCATTTGAGTGTTGGTGGTACGAATCGAGGTCACTTACGCTAGTGTTGGTGCCCCCTGCGTGAGTGTCATTCGCGTGTCGCTGTCTTTTGATTTGCCCAGCATCGGTCCCCTCGTGTGTGTGTCATTCGCATTCACGGCCCGGACTGGGAGGGATCTGCTAAGGGCAACCCTGAGGGTGTGGCTTAAGTGACCTCTTTGAGGTAGGAAGTGACCTTATTTTCAATATGGATCATATCACCCACAAAATGAATCGAGGCCACTGAAAAGAAGCTGGCCATGCTCCTTTGGTTTTTGGTGCCCTCGGTTGCCTACGAATTACACGAGTCTCCTTCCCATCTTTCCATTGTGCGAATTTCATGACCCCTTTCTTTTGGGAACTGCTCCCATGTTGAAGTCAGAAGGAACTCCAGGTTTTGCCGGACATGGAATCTCTGAGACCCCCAGGTTTTTTCTTGGCGCAGCTCGCCCAACTCGCCCGGTCATCAGTGTGGTGCGTCGTCAGGTGCTGCGGCTGAAGAGTGGGGACTTGCTGCTGATGGGCGGCGAGAGTCGCCAGCTCTGGCACGGCATCAGCCGGGTGATTCCCAACACCACCCCCTCGCCGCATGGTCAACAATTCAGCGGGGGGTTGTCGGAAATGAGTACCTGGAGTCTTCTGACCCTTAAAAAATGGTTGCTCATTACCCAAAAAGAACATGGAGACTCTAGGTACCCTTTTCGGGCCATTTATGTTGGGCCCGCCTTTAAACGGGGTCCAAAAATGGGTCCATATGTTTGACGCCGAATGGCTAAGAAGATGTAGAGCGTTAGAACCAGTTTGAAAGTGGTTTGTGAACAGGAATGCCCACCCAAACGATGTCCTGATTAGAAATCATGCAATAGGGATTTCGACCATGAAATTGTGGTGTTGTTCTCGTTTTCCCCTTAACCCAACCTTTCAAGAGGGTGTACCAACTTAACAAAGACACCAATGATCCAACCCAGCGCCAAGTTTCTTTTTGGATGGTGTGGCAACATCAAATGTTCAGCTTAAAGTGAGCTTGCCTTAGGGCTATCTTAGGGGTGTCACACGAAATATTTTCGGAACCCCAAACAATTGCCAGTGTGGATATTCCAACCGATTTGGTAGTTATCGTGCTGCTGCTCACTAGGGAATGACGTCCTGGGTGTTGGAAATGAACCGGAAGGGGGTTCCCGTAAAGGACCCATAGGCGATGTTGGTTAGCGCAACTTTTCCATGAGACTCATGTGAACCTGGACAAGGGGATGCCCTTGGCAGACATAGCAAGGTATACAGCCGCGATTCGGGAACAGCGATCCATGACTTGGCGGTGCCTTGACTACCTAGAGTCTCCGTGACCCCTTGAAAAAGGGGTCATGACCCCTTTCTTTTGGGCAATGGCCCAATTGTTTAAGGGTCAGGGAGAGTCTAGGTACAACGATGCACAAAGAACATATTAGGGTTGAACGCTCACCAAGAAAAGGTGTCTTTGTTTTTTCCGCCTAAAGTCAAACAACCGGGAATGCCAGAAGAAAAGGGCGACGTGTGCGACGAATCGTTTGCGACCTGGACCCTCAAGCTACCCTCAAACTACGGGAGATGGCCCCAAGATTTGGGGATCAAAATTTCCAATTTGTAAGGGTAGCTTGAGGGTCCGGGGGCTCCGTGTCGGGAGCATTGGGCGAGTCTTGGTTTTTGTTGGTCCAGGAACCCTCAAACCACCCTGGAAAATGAGGGTGCTTGGATCTTGCCCCATGATCTGGGGGAAAGCTCCGATTTGTAGGGAAGGTGTTTATTCCCGTGGCGGCGGTGAGAGGTTCTTTCTTATGGGAATTCTGAGGGTCCAGGGACACCACATGTCCTCGCCTCGTCCGAGCGCACCGATCGAGGAACCTGCGGATTCAGCCGGGGCTTCTGAGCCTCAACGTGCGCGTGCACTGAGCACAAAAACGCGGCGAAAAAGTTTTCCGCAGGGGGCGAGTCCAGTGGCTTCTCTGAGTTTTATCTAGTTCCCCCAGCTAGGTGCCCTTCTCTCCCCTTTTTTGGGGGGAGGGTTCCCCTAAAATAGACTACAGGTCTAACCTGTCTTCTGGAGGACCTAGTAATTTTTTGGTCCATTGAGGTTGAGCAAATGCATTTCGAGTGGTTCAAATGTGTGGTTTTCGAAGGGAAGCCGCTATTCAGAGGGTCGGAACTCACACATGAAGCCCTAGGTTCATCCGGCCAGCTCGGTCTACCTACCCTTGGGGCCCAACATGCATTTTGAGTCAGTTTCTCAAAATGCATCCAGAGGTTGGGAAACGAACTTGCCATGAGGGTCGTTTTGAGGATTGCCGAATGGACCGGTTTTGGTTGCCAACCCGACCACCCAAAAGCCCCAAAGACCTGTAAGCCCCCAAGCGACCTGGCCACGAATCACGGAATGAGCCCCACAACCTTTGGCTTTGCTGAAGGGACTGCAACCAACAGCCGAGATCCCTGACACTTTTCATGGGACCCCTTAAATGGGTGTGGGTCAAAAGTTGCTTGTAACCCCAGAATGGGTGCCCTGGTAAATGGAAACAATGAGTAAATTGTGCGGTCAATGTTCTGGTGGTTTCATTGTGACCCACTCCCCAAATGCTGGGGGCCGATCAATACTCCTCCCTTGATGCACCTCCCTCAGCGAGTACCCTGGGAGAATCATTGCCAGGTTTTGCTGGCCCCTTCCGGGTTTCTTCATGGAATTGGGTCGACCCCTGAACCACCCAGCGCTTTGATTATGACTCAAGGACAAATCAAGTCTGAACAGTTGGGGTGTGGTCCCTTCGAGTTTTGGAGTTGGCACTGGAGTCCGTTTCCGGTGCTCCACTAAACATAGTGACCTCTTGATTTCTTCAGTGTTTGTTGGTTCCTGTGTTAAGGTGTAGGGAACTTGGGGCTTTGTTAGGTGTACGTGTTCTTTTTTGTGTGTCTTTAGGTGGACACATTGGGACTCCAAAAGGGTGGTTAGGTCCCCCAGTAGTGCCCTTTTACCCTTTTTTTGGGGAGGGTTCCCCTACTAACCTAGACTACAGAGCAAAGGGTACCCTTATTCTAACCTCTCTACTGGAGGACCCAGGTTGCGTTTTCGCTTCGTTTGTGTGTTGAGTTTGAAGCGAGCTCATTGCTGTTGATCGGACGCTTCTGGTTTGGAGTTTGGATCAGAAAGCCATCTGGGTTTGATCAAGGCCTTTACATAGGGTGACCATTAAGGAAACCGCCGCAAAAGATGACGTTCACCAGTAAATGGGACAAGTGACCCATGATCATTTTGGGGCCAAGAATATTGATCCATCCCCGTATGTGCGTCACTTTCTGTGCTGGGGTCGTTGTCTTTAATATGGTCCCATCATGTTGAGGTGGCCATTTCTGTTTTTTCGTGAGTGCTAGGAGGTTTGGGAGGAATTGCAAACGGGTTCTTAACCCCACAAGGGGTTGCAGGGGGAAGGCTTAGCTGGGGGTATAGTACTAACCACTAAGTGCCACAGCTGGCCAAAGGGATCAACTTAGTGATGAAGTGATTTCTCAATGCGACCCGGAATTTCAGAAACTCACTTCCGATTCCGAGTTTGCTTGTTGGTTGCCCTTTTTGTGGCAAAGATCAGGTTTTGGTCTAGCGTCCCATTTACCAGGGCAACCCATGTTGGTCGTGTGCACAGCGAAGCGGATGCACTGGGGCGTGGGTTCTTAACACCTCTCTCGACTCTTTCGGGGCCAATCGCTAGGGACTCGGAGCTGGGGGTAAAGTTTGCTTTGGCAGAGGGAGCCCTTTGGAAGACCATGTGCCGTTTGAAGGGACCCGTTGGGTTCCATACTTGGCACGTCTCCGCGTTGCGGAACTGGACCAATCGACGTGATGATTCATCTCTTGTGGAGCCTTGGACAAGCAGCGTGCTTTGTAGTTGGAAGGACAAAATCCACACGCATCAGTGTGGATGAAGCCCCGTAAATGGGATAAACCACCTGGTGCATAGGTTGGTCCATCCACAGTCTCGTTTAGGGAAGTGGCTTACACTGGCAAGTGGCTTATGGTCAAGCACTCGGTACCCCGGGGCCCGTTTTCAGCGGGCTTTTTCGCCAGTTTTGCCGCCTTCCCCCCCTCTCCCCGACCCCCCCACCTCCCCCAGGCCGATCGATCTGTTGAGGTTTGCTCCTGGTTG